CAAGTGAAATAACATTCTTGAAGTGGCTTTTCCTTTTGATTTAAAATTTGTACAAGGAGGGGCACCTGGGTGACTCAGTGGGTTAAGACTGCTTCCCTCTCTCTCTGCCTGCCTCTCTGCCTACTTGTCAAATAAATAAATTTGCCTACTGTCAAATAAATAAAAACTTTAAAAAATTTTTTTGTACAAGGAGTGCTAGGTAATATTACCCAAAAAAACTAATTCAAAGAAACTTGTCACCTACACCCTTTACCTGCCCTCATTCTAAACATAAAGAAATTCTCGATATTTTACTACACAATTGAGTGCTATAGAAAGAAATGAAAGTCTTTAAATTCTATAGAGAGAAATCCATAAGAGTATGGAAACTCTATAGCTCATAGTGATCACTGAACAGGATTAAAAATGATAATAATAAAAATACAGCATCCCAGACAAAATTTCTGGGGGTGATTCTAATGATTCATACCATTTTCATTATGCAGAAACTGGCGGGGGTGGGGCAGGAAGCCAAGAAATTAATCCATAGAAATGTCTCTACAATCTAGGAGAGGCACAGGATGCTGAAGTATATGATGCAGGGTAAGAATGAGTTTACAAACCAAAATTACAAAGTAGTTGAAGAAATATGACATCATGAGAGACAGCATATATTATATATGGAATGAGGAATATATATATATATATATATTATATGTATATATATTATACATATGTATAATATATATACATATAATATATACATATAATACATAATATATATATATATACATATGTATATATATATAATGAGGAATTCTATGTAATACATAAATGGTCTTTAGAATGAAGATGCTTGTTCCATTTCTGTGAAAAGAGTTGGTATTTTGATAGGGACTGCATTAAATGTGTAGATTGCTCTAAGTAGAACATTTTCACAATATTTTTTCACAATATTTTTCCACAATATTTTTCACAACATTTTTTCTTCCAATCCATGAGCATGGGATGTTTTTCCATCTCTTTGTGTCTTCCTCAATTTTTCTCATGAGTATTCTACAGTCTTCTGAATACAGATTCTTTGCCTCTTTAGTTAGGTTTATTCCTAGGTATCTTATGGTTTGGGGTACAATTGTAAATGGGATTGACTCCTTAATTTCTCTTTCTTCTGTCTTACTGTTGGTGTATAGAAATGCAACTGATTTCTGTGCATTGATTTTATATCCTGACACTTTACTGAATTCCTATATGAGTTCTGTTTTGGAGTGGCGTCTTTTGATTTTTCCACATAAAATATCATATCATCTGCAAAGAGTGAGAGTTTGACTTCTTTGCCGATTCAGATGCCTTTAATTTCTTTTTGTTGTCTGATTGCTGAGGCTAGGAGAAGCTGAGGCTTTTTCACACAGGTGAAAAAGTTCCAGTACCATGTTGAATAGCAGTGGTGACAGTGGACATCCCTGCCATGTTCCTGATCTTAGAGGAAAAGCTCTCAGTTTTTCCCCATTGAGAATGATATTTGCTGTGGGTTTTTCATAGATGGCTTTGATGATATTGAGGTAAATATTCTCTATCCCTACACTGTGAAGAGTTTTGATCAAGAAAGGATGCTGTACTTTGTCGACTGCTTTTTCTGCATCTTTTGAGAATATCATATGATTCTGCTCCTTTCTTTTATTAATGTATTGTATCACATTGATTGATTTGCAGATGTTGAACCAACCTTGCAGCCTAGGAACAAATCCCACTTGATGGTGGTGAATAATCCTTTTAATGTACTGTTGGATCACGCCAGCTTGTATTTTGGTGAGAATTTTTGCGTCTGTGTTCATCAGGGATATTGGTCTGTAATTCTTTTTGATAGGATCTTTCCTAAAACTTGTACGGAACCAAAAAAGATCCCAAATAGCCAGCAGAATGTTGAAAAAGAAAAGCAAATCGGTAGCATCACAATTCTGGACTTCAAGCTCTATTACAAAGCTGTAATTACCAAGACAGTATGATACTGTCACAAACACAGACACACAGATCAATCGAACAGAACAGAGAGCCCAGAAATGGAGCCTCAACTCTGTGGTCAACTAATCTTTGACAAAGCAAGAAAGAATGTCCAGTGGAAAAAAGAGTCCCTTTAACAGATGTTGTTGGGAAAATTGGACAGCCACATGCAGAAGAATGAAACTGGACCATTTCCTTACATCACACACAAAAATAGACTCAAAATGGATGAAAGATCTAAATATGAGACAGGAATCCATTAAAATTCTTGGGGAGAACACAGGCAGCGACCTCTTTGACCTCAACCACAGCAACCTCTTCCTAGAGACATCATCAAAGGCAAGAAAAGCAAGGGCAAAAATGAACTATTGGGACTTTGAGATAAAAAGCTTTTGCACAGCAAAGGAAACAGTCAACAAAACCAAGGGGCAACAGACAGAATGGGAGAAGATATTTATAAATGACTTATCAGATAAAGGGCTGGTATCTAAAATCTATAAAGAACTTATCAAACTTAACATCCAAAGAACAAATAATCCAATTAAGAAATGGGCAGAAGATGGGGTGCCTGGGTGGCTCAGTGGGATAAGCCTCTGCCTTCAGCTCAGGTCATGATCTCAGGCTCCTGGGATCGAGCCCCATATCGGGCTGTCTGCTCAGCAGGGAGCCTGCTTCCCCTTTTCTCTCTCGGCCTGCCTCTCTGCCTACTTGTGATCTGTCAAAAAAAAGGGGGGGGGCAGAAGACATGAATAGACATTTCTGCAAAGAAGACATCCAAATGGCCAACGGACATAGGTGAAAAAGTGCTCAACATCACTGGGCATCTGGGAATTACAAATCAAAACCTCAGTGAGATACCACCTCACACCACACCAGTCAGAAAGTGTAAAATTAACAAGTCAGGAAATAATAGATGTTGGTGAAGATGCAGAGAAAGGGGAACCCTCCTACACTGTTGGTGGGAATGCAAGCTGGTACAGCCACTCTGGAAAACAGTACAGGTTCCTCAAAAGGTTGAGAAGAGCTACCCTAGGACTCAGCAATAGCACTCCTGGATATTTACCCCAAAGATACAAATATAGTGATTCAAAGGGGCAGGTGCACCCTAATGTTTATAGCAGCAATGTCCATGATAGCCAAACTATGGAAAGAGCCTAGATGTCTATCCATAGATGAAAGGATGAAGAAGATGTGATATATATATACTATGTAGCCATCAAAAATGAAATCTTGCCATTTGCAAGACATGGATGGAACTAGAGGGTACTATGCTAAGAGAAATAAGTCAATCAGAGAAAGAATTACCATATGATCTCTCTGATATGAGGAATTTGAGAAACAAGACAGGATCATAGGGGAAGAGAGGGAAAACTGAAACAAGAGGAAACCAGAGAGGGAGACAAACCATAAGAGACTCAATCTCAGGAAACAAACTGAGGGTTGCTGAAGGGGAGGAGGGTCTGAGGGATGGGGTGGCTGGGTGATGGACATTGGAGAGGGTATGTGGCTATGGTGAGTGCTCTGAATTGTGTACGACTGATGAATCGCAGACCTGTATCCCTGAAACAAATAATACATTATATGTTAAGTTAAAAAAAAAATCTCCAAGTGATTCTTGTCACATTAAATTTAAGAAGGACTGGGATAAAAGAGTGTAGATTCACCCTTGGTTTATGTGTGCTGGTTGTGATATGCTGGAAGCAAGAGGCATTCTGAGCTCCCAGACTCGATGAATTTATTACCTTTTTTATGCATAACTTCAATCCTTTTCCAAATGATTTCTCATCTTGTACACTAAATCCTCCCTAATTCCCCCCACACCCCAGGTGCTCTTATATCTGAATGTTACCGGATTGCAGAAGAAACCATAAGCTTCCTTTCAGTTTTAAAATTCTTTGATTTTATCAGCTAAACCTCCTCCACATAGAAAAAAATACATGAAAATCAGTAAAACCGAACTGAAATGAAATCTAGTCAGTGCGAGAAGTAATTCTAAGGAAAATTTTGCAATTAGCTACACACACACACACCCATCTGCTCTTGGGTCAGATTTAAAGAATGACCCACCGTCTTTCTTCTCATAACATTTGAGTGTTTTAAAGTCGCTATTCGTGATTATGGTTTTTGAACTGATTTTTCTCCTCTTCTTTGTGCAAAACCAAACTTAATTCTTCTAAACGAATTAAGTCACTTGAGAGTCCGAGTGGAAGCTCGAGCGACACCGCCTCCTCGCACTGACGTGGAACCGGTTTCCGAAGAGGGGTTCCTGGGAGCAAGACAGGACAGCGCCGAACCGGTCCCCAGGACATCTGCTGGAAGCGTCAGGGGTCACGGAAACTTTGATGTAGCATTTTCAAGACCAGCGAGGCTTTCTGTGACTCAGGCTTTCATCTTACACCGAGAACCGAACGTTGTCGACCTGCTGGTGATTTTTTAGGTGCCGCGGCTCTGAATCGCGGTCGCCTACGGGGTAACGTCTGCGGTCCAAGAGGAGGAAAACACACTTGTCCCTCCTCACGCTAACTGGTCCAAGGGGCTGTGGGTGCGCTCGGTGACCGTTGGGAGAACCGAAATGGCAGAGGTCTGAGGCGTTTCAGAACTGAGCGGGAAGGGTTTTTAAACTGCGCAGGGAGAGAGGTTTCCGACGCGACAGCCGATGGCTCCCGGCCCTAATAGCCTCCCGCCAGCGCCGGGTCGGCTCCGCACCGGGAACCGCCTCCCCCTCTCCAGGTTAACCCCCCCCCCCCCCCCCCTCCCTCCCCCCCGCCCTTCCCTCTCCCCCGGCCCCTGCCCCCCCCCCTTCCCCCCCCCCCCCGCCAGACTCGCGCTCCCGCCGCAAGCGCCACCTCTTCTCTCAACCAGATGCCAGACGGGAAGCGCAGCAGGCCGACTGCGCGCACGCGCACTGCGCGGCGGGCGCCTGGGCAGGCGGGGCGTCTGCGCAGGCGCGCGCTGCTCCGGCTTCGCTCCCGCGCCGGCCGCTAGGCGTTCTTCCGCTGCTTCAGTCGGGCTTGGGGCCGCGCGCCGGCGGCGGCACCATGTTTCTTCAGTCAGTCAGTTTCTGGAATCTGGCGTTTTATGCCCTTATGGTTTTCATGGCAACCCTGGGGCTGTGGGACGTCTTCTTCGGCTTCGAGGAGAACAAGTGCAGTATGAGCTATATGTTTGAGTACCCGGAGTATCAGGTGAGGTTCGGCTGTCTCACCTGGGCGCTCTGAGACTCGGGCCCCTCCTGCGGGTTTCTCCCCACTTGGGCTCCCGCGCCTCTCCGGCTCCCTTATGCCAACCTCGTCTCCGGTTTTCTTTCGCTCCTGAAGACTCTGCAGACCCCCCCACCCCACCCGCTACCCTCACCTACCCTTTGTGTCCTCTCAACAGTGGGGTGTCAGGTAGATGGTTCCCTGAAGCATCCTCCCGGCCCCCCTCGTAGTTCTCCCCTGTCCCTCCGCTCCGTTCCCCGTCCCAAACCCCAGGTACAGATTCTTCCGACTGCCCGGGCCCACCCCACCCCCCATTCCTAGACACGCAACCTCAGCCCCTTTCCCTAAACCCAGACCCCATTTTCCCTGCGTTCCTGCCTTAACAGGTGCCCCAGACCCTCCTCTGCTTTCCACGCGCCTAAATTCTCACCATCCCGCGCCGTGATTTGCACGTCAGCTTTCGCCTTTCTGGAAAGGGGCTGAGCTGCTGCAGAGTGTGCAGTGGCCGGATCCCAAGACTGCCTTTGCGACTCCGGGGTTTTACTCCTGTGGGAGAGGCTCACCTGATAAGTAAAGTGGAGAACTACTGAGTCTCCCTCCCGTAAAGTTCGCGGAGCCTCCGGTTCGGTAGGTTGTGGGTCCGTGCGTGTGCGTACATGCCCGTGTTTCTGCACGTCGTCTCTGAGCAGTTCATCCAGAATCCGTTTCGGAGTGTTCTTGTTTTCTCACCGTGTTTGCAATTTAGGAGAGACCCGGCCTTCCCGGAGCGCGCACTTGCGCGCCGCCCCCCACTTCTTCTTTTCTGTTTTGACTATTTTCAATCCCAGTTGCTTCGTCAGGTCAGCACAGTGGAGTCTAGAATTTCATTCATGATCCCCTGTAGTGATAAGTTACACGAGTGTCCAAAGAAATTTCTCCTGAATGATTCTCCTACTTGTAAACGCATCCCCCAGTTACTGAATACGTGTCACATGGTAACTCCCTACCATAAAAAGTACATGTACTGGAATATGTTACTGATAAAACTAATTTTAAATATACTTTAAAAATAATATTTTTTAAGGTGAAGAATGCAGATCGTGATTTTCTCGGTGTAAAGGTCATTATGGAGGAGCAGATTACTTGATTAATGCTATTATTTAGATCCTAAAACTACCTAAGATTTAGATTGCTGAAGAACGTCTTTTCCCCGTGGGCAAAATTCTAGTTTAGATTTCATCTGTTTCGAGCTCTTTATCGCGGTTTTGCATCAATGCTTATAAGGGAATGGAAGAACTTGCTATCAGATGCTATTGCAGGAGATTTTAACGTGTTACTGTTGTCTCGGTTTCTAAGCACATATGCTGGTTTATGTTTCTCAGAGGCTATGCAGAGTTAAGTACGTGGGCTTTTAGTTTAGTGTTTTGTTTTTTTTTTTTTTAACTGAAAATAGAGCCCTTGTATTAATTTTTCTGTGGTTTAATAATTGGGAAACTCTCAACAGGTTGAAGTAGGTCACTTTAGTTTTGAATTGTGTTGAAGAGTTTGATTAAAACAAAATTATCTGGAACAATACAGAACTAATGCCCATTTATTTTGAGATTGTCTACAATTATTGAAGCTATTTTAATATCTGCGGTAGTAGAAATCGCTTAGTGTTTTGAGAACAAAGCACATGGACTCATAGATCCATTTCTTGCCTTAAAGTTAACTGGAAAGACAGAAAATTAGCTAGTGCAAAAGAGCTATTTGGCTTTTTTTTTTTAGTTGTTGAGTAGTCTGTATTTAGTTATTTTGACTTAGATTCCCTTTTTGAGGTTACTGTTAATAATTTGTCAGTACAGTAATAATTACAGCGGCTGGAGTTTCTGATACGCATTTTTCAGTAGATTTTTATTTTTATGATGTAAAAAGCTCTGTTAATTAATTACAGTATTTATACTTGATTCTTAGACCTTTTATTGTGCAGACCAGGTCATGTTATTTTATTTATTTATTTATTTATTTTTTAAAGATTTTTATTTATTTATTTGACAGAGAGAGATCACAAGCAGGCAGAGAGGCAGGCAGAGAGAGGGGAAAGGAAGCAGGCTCCCTGCTGAGCAGAGAGCCCGATGTGGGGCTCGATCATGACCTGAGCCGAAGGCAGAGGCTTAACCCACTGAGCCACCCAGGTGCCCCCAGGTCATGTTATTTTAGAAATACAGTTAAAACCTGTCTATAGAAATGAGTCACTTTGAAATGTAGTGAGATTTCTGGAAAACTGAGGTAATTCTATTAAGAACCAGTGTTTTTTAATGAATATATATTCTAAATATATTTTATATGTATTATTTTTAGTTACGTTTTATAGTAAGCTTTCTAATTGTTTACAGAGTGACTCCAGCATTTGAGATGACATAGTTGTTGGGTTTTCTCCTTGATGCCTTTTTCTTTTTTTACTGCTTATTTACATATTCTTTAGCCGAATGTTAGAGGAAATGAAAGGTAGTTGAAACACTCTACTTTATTCCCCATTTTAAAAATTAAAGGTGAGGCAGAAATTTGAGCTTATTTGTAAAAATGAAGTGTTGATTTTAAAGTTGTTTGACTAGGGTTGCCTGGGAGGTTCAGTCTGTTAAATGTCTGCTTTTGCCTCAGGTGGTGATGGGGGCGCTCCTGGGATCAGAGCCCCAGCATTGGACTTCCTGCTCAGCAAAGTCTGATTGATTCTCTCTCTCTCTCTCCCCCTCTGCCCCTCCCCACTGCTTGTTCTCTCTCTCTCTCTCTCTCAAAAAATTAAATAAATAAAATCTTAAAAAAACAAAAAAGTTGTTTTGAGTATTTGAGTATTTTCTACCTTTGGATTTCCAAAATTTGCTTGTTCAGAGTTAACTGAACATCTCACAAACCTACCAGGCAAAATATACATTATCCTTTAAAGCTTCTTGCTTTATTATGATGCAGGGCAAAGCTTTTATTTGGTAGCAGACAGTCTTAGGCAAATTGTAGAATTGGAGAAGAAACATCTGTGTTGTTTTCTCCTATACAGCAATCTATTTGGCTGTCCTCAGATATGTGATCTAATTGTTCTTGTCTGAAAGAAAATGTTGATATTGGAAAACACGAATCAGGCTTTTGTTATTAAGTGTGATGTTTACTTAGCAAATAGCTTATTGAATAACTCTAGATACTGGATATGGGTGAGGGAATTAGAGATGAATCAGACCTTGTGCCTTTATGTCTTTATAATTTTTATGGCTTTATAATACAGTGGGGGAGACAGGATGTAATGGATAGTTAAAATATAATGTGCTAAATGATAATTTCTCTGTAAGTGCATATGAGGGTCTTCACAGAAGAAAGCATCCAAGTTCATCTTTGGTAGTCAAAGGTTGTAGAGAAGATGTGGTTAATTAGAGGATATATACACACACACACACACACACACACACACACACATACACACATATACACACACATAGTTCATGAAGCACAGAAACAAGAAAACTACAGGAATAAAGAATAGCATTTGTGAAGGTAGGAAGGCACCAGGACACATTGTATAAGCGGTATGGATAGTATATAAACTGCTAACATTGGTTGCCTTCTGGTTAGGGAATTAGATGGCTAAAGGACTAGGGGTAGGAGAAAGCCTTTTCATTATACATCCTTTGAGTCTTGAATTTTGAAGCATATTAAAATTTTTAAAACTTAGCATGTATAAGTTAAAAGAATGGTAAGAATAATTGAAGACAGATTTTAGAGGGTCTCTCAGGCCTTTATCATCTATTAATATAATCAGGAAGCATAGGAGGTGTATGTTTTAACACGATATTTCTTTTTTTTTTTTTTTTTTTTTTAAAATATTTTTTTTTTTTTTTAATTATTTATTTGAGAGAGAGAGAGAGACAGTGAGAGAGAGCATGAGCGAGGAGAAGGTCAGAGGGAGAAGCAGACTCCCCATGGAGCTGGGAGCCCGATGCGGGACTTGATCCCGGAACTCCAGGATCATGACCTGAGCCGAAGGCAGTTGCTCAACCAACTGAGCCACCCAGGCGCCCAATTAACACGATATTTCTAATTATATTTTATGTTATTTGAGGGGTGGAGTGGGATGGAAGGGCGAGAGGGAAGGGGAAAGAGAGAAAAGCTTAAGTAGGCTTTATACTCAGCCTGAAGGCCAACTCAGGGCTCTCTCTCAGGACTTTGAGATCCTGACCAGAGCGGATGCTTAATTAACTGAGCCACGCAGGTGCCCCACAAGGTTTTTCTTGACAGCAGTATGGACTACGGATTGGAGTAGGGAGGTTATGACCATTCTGAAAGATTCACCTCTCCCTAGGTCTTTTTATTAAGCTGGAGTCCTTAGGGGTGGAATGGGGAAAGGGCTGAGAAGAGTTCTTTGTAAGATCTTTAAAACTATATTCATTTTAATCAAAATCTTTTTTTCTTTTTTATTAATTATGGGGCTCAAATTTTAATTTTCCAGTTTTAATTTACTAGTAAAATATATATCATAAAGACAATAGTTTCTTGAATCAGTATTTTTCTAGTACTTGGGAACTCGTTAGAATTTTTGTCTTTTGAAAGGGCTCTGGGTTAAAAATTAAAAGGAACTGTACTAAGGCAGAGTCAAGAGAGGATGAACAGCAGAGGCAGGATTGTGGAGATAGTTAAGTATAAAGGTAATTTGATTTTGATTAAAGGTCTGTTTTGGGGAGGGGTTCTCTTTTAAAGTAATCTATATAAAATAATTTAAAATATATGGGATCTTTTGCTATAAAAGTTTTCTTTTTGAATCCCTTGACCCTCTTTTTTCTTCATCAGCATCCTTTCCATATGCCTGTACTTTTTCTGTCTTCAATCTGGTCACAGCCCTTCTTGTTTCTTCCTGCTACTCCCAACTTGTACTCTGGAATGCAATTTTGCTATTTGCTAATAGTTGCCTATTTTTTCTATGTTAATTTTCAACTAGTTCAAAACTTTGTTTAGCTAATGTACTAAAAAGAATGATCTGATACTCACTTACTGTCATATCCAAAGGTGTAGTAAATTGGGAGGAGTTGGAGAGTAATGGTTTACTTATTCTCACATGTTTTCTTTTTGCTTAATGTGTGCTTAAAATATTGCACCATTTTCATTTTGATTATATATTGTGCATAGTCAGTATTGGGACAACTTTGAATTGAAGTCTATATATGTGAGATATATATATATATATATATATATATATATATATATTTGGAGGGGTAAAATTGCTAATATCTTAAACAGTAAGCTCACAATTTCTAAAGATATTTTCCGTTGTTATTAACACATTGTTTATGTTGATTTTTTTAAAGGAATATTCAGGAATGTGCATGAATGATCAGAATTCTGCTTTTTAGAACAGTGAGGTTTTTCAGTGTTACTACTATTTACAGGCTTTAAAATTTAAAATTCAGTACTTAAAATTTTTATCAAGCACATGTACAGCACTGTTAGATCATTAAATCTATTGATGTCTGCTTAAATAAAATCTACTGCTCAATGTAACTGGCTTCATTTTTAATGGTTTCTATAGTTTAAAAAGGAGCAGAAGAAGGGAGTGTACTTTACCACCACTTTTATAGATTCCTACCTTTTGGGGATGATGTTACATGAATTACTGGCTTTTTTGTTATAAAATAATATAAATAAATGTTATAAAATAATATAAATTGCAGAGTAGTCTAAGGCTTGCTGACAAACCATACACCTGGTCCACGAAAACCAAAACAGATGCTAACTCATTGGAATGTTTACGGTGAGGAGAGTGTGCATGTCTTGACCCAAGGCATGGCTGTAAGGTTCATATTAATTTGTAAAGCACATTGCAGGTCAAAGCATATTAAGTTGAGAGGTCAGAAAGCGGCATTGTAAAACAAGCTTACTTTCCTTTGAGTGATGTAACAACTGGACGATGCAGTTGAGCCTACGTAAAAGGAGAGGCATTATGAAACAGTTTAAAATAGCAAAAAAGAATTGATTTGATAATGGAAAGCCTTCATCATTTCTAAGGATAATTGATGCTGATACTATATTAAGTACATTTCCAATTATACTAACAAATAATTTGCTGACATACCCCAGTGTTTTTCTTTTGTCAATGACTATTTTGAGTAATTTATATTAATTAGAGTTTCAAGTAGTTCAATTTAAAAAAAAAAATTATTTATTTGAGAGAGAGAGAGAGAGACATAGAGAGAGCATGAGGGGGGAGGTGAGAGGGAGAAGCAGACTCCCTGCGGAACTGGGAGCCTGATGCAGGACTCGATGCCGGGATTCTGGAATCATGACTTGAGCCGAAGGCAGCGGCTTAACCAGTTGAGCCACCTAGGCGCCCCTAGGTAGTTCCATTTTATGTATTCCTGAAGACTGCATGGTTCAAAACTCACGTAATTCAAGATGTGTTCTACATATGAATAAAAGTAAAAGTGCAGTTTTATTATCAGTAATATTTTTACACTGTTTCAAATGTGTTTAATTCAGAATTGGGCACAGTAGACTGAATTGTATTAATACAACTGATTAAAGTGGAATTGCCTTTTTCTCCCCCCTGCAGAAAATAGAACTTCCAAAGAAACTGGCAAAACGCTATCCTGCATATGAATTATATCTTTATGGAGAAGGATCCTATGCTGAAGAACACAAAATTCTCCCTTTGACTGGTATTCCAGTTCTCTTTCTTCCTGGTAATGCTGGAAGTTATAAGCAAGGTAAGTCTTGGAAGTAATTTTGAAAGCTATAAAATTCAATCGAAGAATTTACCAGATACATATTCTATGTACTATGCTAGGCATATGGGAGACACAGATATTTGACGTATTGTCTCCAGGAAAAAAATATGAGTACAAAGAATAGTTGAAGACCACTTAGACAACGTAAGACAGAGAAAAAGAACATGATGGAGTAGGTAGGATAAGTGACACAGGGATCCGGGAATTAGCAGAAGAAAGGTTATGTTGAAAATGGAAGGTATAGAAAACATAACCTAGAATACTGATTAGAGAAGTAAATTGGTTTATGTTTTGCTGAACAAGAGAAAAGGTTGGTTTCTTTCTTTTGGAGCTATTTAAATCAGATCTAGAAATACTGATGGGAACACAGAAAGGTGAAGATAGGGAAGCTTTATGTATAGATTCCAAATTGAATGTTGGCCTGGAGATAATAGCAGTTATTTCTGGCATAACAATCAAGTAATCTGGAAGTAATTTCATTTCAAATATACTTTTTGGTTATTAACTGGCATATTCTTTTATATAATAAGAATTCTTTCGGGGATGTCTGGGTGGCTCAGTTGGTTAAGCTCATCATTATTCCAGGGTCCTGGGATCAAGTCCCATATACAGCTCCTTACTCAGCAGTGAGTCCGCTTCTCCCCCTGCTTGTTCTTTCTCTCTCTCTCTCTCACTCTCTAATAAATAAAATATTTAACAAAAAAAAAAATTCATCCAAGTTGTTGTATGAGCTGTGATTCATTTATTTTTTTCACTCTATGTTCTCCCATTATATGGCTATACCATAGTTTAAATATTCTGTCTTTGGATACTAATGTTATTTATATTTATTGGTAATTACAAGTAAAGAACATTTTTCTTACTTTGGATCACATAAGCACATGTTTCTGTAAGATGTATGCTATAATGTAACTCATGTCACAGGTTATATGTATCCTTCTATTTTTACTGGCTGTGCTAATTTATACTCCCAGAAATACTACATTATACTTCCCTTTGCTTCACATCCTTGACAGCATTAGAATTGTCAGATTTTTAAATTCTATACAGTATAGTACGTGTGATTTATTTTTAAAAAATTATTACTCTGGCTTTGCTGTGTAGAGAATATGCTGTAAAGGGGCAAGAGTGAAAGAAGGAAAGATAACATCATTAATCATCAGGGAAATGCAAATCAAAACCATAAGGATAGATGTGATTTCATACCCACCAGGGTAGCTATAATCTAAAAGATAATATCAAGGGTCATTGAGGATGTGAAGAAATTAAAACCCTTATCCATTGTTGGTGGGAATATAAAATGTCAGAGCCACTTTGGAAAAACAGTTTGGCAGTTATTCAGAATGTTAAACATAGAGTTTTATGCTTAGCAATTCCGCTATAGGTATCTACCCAAGAAAAATGAAAATGTACTTTCACACGAAAACTTGTTTACAAATGTTCACAGCAATACTATTCAAAATAACTAAAATGGAAAAACAACCCAACATCAACTAAAGAATAAAATACATACATATAGTGGAATATTATTCAGCAGTAAAAAGGAATGAATGATGAAAGAAGAAAATTACAGGCCAATATCCTGGATGAGCCTAGATGCAGAAATCCTTAGCAAAGTATTAGCAAACCAAATCCAACCATACATAATCAAGTGGGATTTATTCCAGAGATGGAAGAAGGTTCACTATCCACAAATCAATCAATATGGTACAATTACATTAATACAATGAAAGATGAAAATCATATGATCATCTTAATAGATGTAACAAAAGCCTTTGACAACATTCAGTATTCATTTATGATAAAAATTCAAAATAGTGGGTATAGAGGGACTGTACCTCAACATAATAAAGGCCATATATGACAGTCCTACAGCTAATGTTATGCTCAATGGTGAGAAGCTGAAAGCTTTTCCTCTAATTCTAGGAACAAGACAAGGATGCCCACTCTCACCACTTTTATTCAACATAGTATTGGAAGTCCAGGCCACAGCAGTAAGGCAAGAAAAATTTTAAAAAGCCATCCAAATTGGAAAGGAAGAAGTAAAATAGTCACTATTTGCAGATGACTTATATAGAAAATCCTCAAGACTCAAAAAAAAGCTGTTAGAATTAATAAATGAGTTATTTATGTAGGATACAAAATCAATATACAGAAATCTATGGTGTTTCTAATAAATAATGAGAAATTAAGAAAACAATCTCATTTACAATTGCATTGAAAAGAGTAAATACCTAGGAATAAATTTAACAAAGGACGTGAAAGATCTCTACACTGAAAACTTTAAGACACCAATGAAAGAAAAGAAAAATAAATGGAAAACTATTCTGTGCTTATGGGTTGGAAACATTAATTCTGTTAAAATGTCCATACTGCCCAAAGCAATCTACAGATTCTGTGTAACACCTATCAAAATTCTGATGGTGTACTTCATAGAAGTAGAACAAATAATTCTAAAATTTGTATGGAGCCACAGAAGATCCCAAATAGCCAGAGCAGTCTTGAGAAAGAACAAAGCTAGAAGTATCTCACTTCCTGATTTCAAACTGTACTACAGAGCTGTAGTAATCAAAACAGTGCAGTATTGATAACAACAACAACAACAACAACAAACCATACACAAATCAGTGGAAGAGAATTGAGAGCCCAGAATATATATGGTCAATTTATCTCTGATAAAAAAGTGAAGAACATACAATGGAGAAAGGACAGTCTCTTCTATAAATAGTTTTCGGAAAACTGGATAGCCATAAGCAAAAGAATGAAACTAGGCCACTATCTTCCACTATACACAAAAATTAACACAAAGTGGATTAAAGGCTTGTGTATAAGACCTGAGTCCTTATAACTGCTAGAAGAAAATATAGACAGTGGGGTGCTTGGGTGGCTTAGTCGTTAAGCGTCTGCCTTCGGCTCAGGTAGTGATCCCAGGGTCCTGGGATTGAGCCCTACATTGGGCTCCCTGCTCAGAGGAAAGCCTGCGTCTCCCTCTCCCACTTCCCCTGCTTGTGTTGTGTTCCCTCTCTTGCTGTCTCTCTGTCAAATAAATAAAAATCTTAAAAAATATATATATATGTGTGTGTATGTATGTATATATATATATGTAGTAAGCTCCTTGACATGGGTCTTAGCAACATCTTCGTGGATCTCACTCCGAAGCACAGGAAACAAACATAAAAATAAATGGTACTACACCAAACTAAAAAGCTTCCGTACAGCAAAGGAAACCATTAAAATGAAAAGGCAGGTTACTTAATGGGATAAGATATTCATAAACTATATATACAATAGGGGGTTAATATCCAAAATATATTAAGAACTTACATAACTCAACAAAAAACAGCCCGATTGAAAAATAAATAGACATTGTTCTAAAGAAGACATACAGGTCACTAACAGGCACAGAAAAAGATAATATCACTAACAGGGAAATGCAAATCAAAACTACATATCATCTTATACTTGTTAGACTACTATCAACAAGGATCTAGTACTCTCAGGCAAATAACAGGAATGAAATCTTGCCATTTGCAATAACATGGATGGACCTTGAGGGTATTATGCTAAGTGAAATGAATCAGACCAAAAAAGACGAGTACCATATGATTTCACTGAAATTTGGAATTTTAAAAAAGTAAATAAAAAATAAACTCAGAGATAAAGAGAACAAACTGCTGGTTACCAAAGGGTAAGGGGGTTGGGAGTGAACAAAATGAGTGAAGGGAACTAGTTGTATGTGATGGATGGTAAATAGATTTGTGGTGATGATGACTTTGTAGTGTATACAGGTGCTGAATTATAAAACGGCACACCTGGGGCGCCTGGGTGGCTCAGTGGGTTAAGCCGCTGCCTTCGGCTCAGGTCATGATCTCAGGGTCCGGGGATCGAGTCCCGCATCGGGCTCTCTGCTCAGCAGGGAGCCTGCTTCCCTCTCTTTCTCTCTCTCTCTCTTTGCCTGACTCTCCGTCTACTTGTGATCTCTCTCTGTCAAATAAATAAATAAAATCTTAAAAAAAAAAATAAAATGGCACACCTGAAGCTTATATAATAAAAAAAGGAATTAATTAACTGATGACATGAGTTACCTGGTACAATGTGGATAAACCTTGAAAACATAAGTGAAAGAAGCTGGTCTTAAAAACCCATATATATGGGGGCACCTGGGTGGCTCTGTGGGTTAAAGCCTCTGCCTTCGGCTCAGGTCATGATCCCAGGGTCCTGGGATCGAGCGCCACATCGGGCTCTCTGCTTAGTGGGGAGCCTGCTTCCTCTTCTCTCTCTCTGCCTGCGTCTCTGCCTACTTGTGATCTGTCTGTCAAATAAATAAATAAAAATCTATAAAAAACAAAAAACCAAAAAAAACCAAAAAAATGGGATATATATGATCCCATTTATAGAAATGTCCAGAATAGGGGCGCCTGGGTGGCTCAGTCGTTAAGCATCTGTCTTTGGCTCAGGTAATGATCCCAGGGTCCTGGACTCAAGCCCCACATCTGGCTCCCTGCTTATCAGGAAGCCTACTTCTCCCACTCCCCCTGCTTCTGTTCCCTCTCTCGCTGTGTCTCTCTGTCAAATAAATAAATAAAATCTTAAAAGAAAAAGAAAAAAAAATGTCTAGAATAGGCAAATCCATAGGAACAGAAAGTAAATTAGTATTTTCCAGGATTGGGGGGAAAAGAGGAATGAGAAATGACTGCTAATGAGTATGGGGTTTTCTTTTTGGGGAAATTAAAAAATAAAGTTAGATTAGTAGAATTTTGTGAATATACTAAAAATCATTGAATTGTACTTTTTACATAAGTTGTATAGAATGTGAATTGTATATGTTAAAAAAATGGAATGGCAAAAAGGTATTTTGCTTGCTAAACCATACACTGCAACTTTTAATACCAATTAATGCAGTCAATTTACAAATTTTGTGGAAGGGTTTATAGAGCAAAACCTAAGACTGGAAGCAGGTAGACCAGTGAAGAAACTATTAGGGTAGTTAAGGCAAGAGATGATGGTGCTTAGATTAAGAAGATGGTGGAAGTAGTGAGAAATGTTGATTGGGGGTATATTTAGAAAGTGGAGGATGATAAGATTTACTGATGGATTGGAGGTCATGTGTAAAAAAAAAAGATCAAGCATAAATATCTTAACCAAGTGATGAGCATACATTTTTTTTTAATTTTTATTTACTTATTTTTTTAAGATTTTACTTATTTATTTGACAGAGAGAGATCACAAGCAGGCAGAGAAGCAGGCAGAGAGAGAGGGGGGAAGCAGGCTCCCCAATGTGGGGCTCATTCCCAGGACCCTGAGATCATGACCTGAGCCGAAGGCAGAGGCTTTAACCCACTGAACCACCCAGGTGCCCCCAAGCATACATTTCTTGTAGGAATTTTCTCATTCTTAAAATCCTCAAGTGTGACTTATTCATACAGATGGCTAACATTTCTTATTCTTCAAAGTATTCTCCTCCCCTTAGTTATTTTCCGTAATCAAGTGGAAGTGGGTAAAGAATGAAAGACCTGTTTACTTTTTATTTAATTAAAATTTAAAAAACATTTAGGGCACCAGACACACAATACAAACAACGGTTTGTTCTTCTAAATTGATATTGAAGGATGTCACCCTGAGGTAGGTTGTTTATATTCAGAGTGTGGGGTAAAGTTATTCGTTAAGAGACTTTGAAGCAAGAATGGTTGCAACTTTTAAAAATTTTGCTTAATGTACCCTTTGCACTTTTCCTCTGCAGTTCGTTCTGTTGGTTCTATTGCACTTAGAAAAGCAGAAGATATTGACTTCAAGTACCACTTTGACTTCTTTAGTGTGAATTTCAATGAAGAACTGGTGGCACTGTATGGTGGAAGTCTTCAGAGACAGACCAAGTTTGTACATGAATGCATTAAAACAATTCTCAAACTCTATAAGGTAAGAGATAGACATGCAAATCAATAGTGATCACCTATTAGCATTTTTAAGGGATTCACCATATTTTAAATCATTTATTTGTTTATATGGAAGTTGAAGTGCAGATAAAACAGAGTTTTTTAATTGTTTGTGTGTGTGAGGCTGTTGTTTTGAACTCCGTGGTTCTTGAAGTTTAAATTGAATTTAAAAGAAACCTCTTGTGAATTTAGGGGAAGAATTTTTTTTTAACTTATAAATTAGAAGCGCATTGAATTTCCTAAAAACTATTAGTGTGGGTTTCTGTCTCTAGTTATGAATAACTTGTATTAGGGTAGACCGCGTCCATATGTAAGCAATTATAAAACTAATCAAAATATCTGAAGCACATGTTTTCAGGTATTGGACAACCAAGTAGTAAAGGACCATGATCCCTGAAAGAAGGAAAACATGTGAGATGAGCTTCGTGCTTGTTGTGATTTTCTGCCTGAAAGCATTTCCCAGACCATGGGATAAGTAGGTGGAGGTCAGGCAGAGTACATTGATGTAACTGAACTGAAGAATGCAGAGATCAGCATTTGGGGCTACTGGAGTGGTTAGATTTGTGGGCAGGATATGAGAAAAAGGAGAACTAGGCCAAGATAGAAGCTCTAGAAATATGCATCTTTCAGCTTTGAATGAAGTGCTGCATATACACAGGGTAAGAAACTATAAGGCAATAGTAGCAGGGAAGAGGTGATGGAGGTGTGTCTACCTCAGGTGCAAGGAATAAAGGGCAATATCTTTAGAGAATTTTAAAAAAGAGTGGCGTAACAGTCCAAAAATCATTCTATGCCAACCATTTGAAACAGTATCAGGGATAAAACACTACTATACTACCTACTGAGGTGAGCCACTGCCTCCCATGATATGCTGCAGTGAAACTCCTGGCAGAAGAAAGCTACTGGGTTATTACGACCTGAATTGAGATTCCAGAAGTCACATGTGCTGGGAAACAGCAGTTCTGATCAGCTAGAACAGAAAGATTTATCAGAACACATAGGACATCATTTGAGATCCCAGAAAGGATGCAATTTAGATATAAGACTGCTTTAGCTCTCAGGAACTCTTCTGGGATCCACCTAATGCTTAACCATAAGCCTCAAAAATACTGAAGTTATGGATTTATCTGAACATAACTGAACATAAGTTATGTTTACGATATGCTTAACAAGAGAACAGGTAGAGGAGAATCACAGCAGAGACATAGGAACTGTAAAAGAGCAAAAAGAAAAATCTAGAACTGAAACAATATATATCAGAGATGAAAGATTCAGAAGTTGCCTGGGTAGCTCAGTTAAGCATCCGACTTAATTTCTGCTAAGGTCATGATCTCAGGGTTGTGAGATTGAGCCCCATGTCGGGATCAGTGCTGGGCATAGAGCCTGCTTAAGATTCTCTCACTGCCTCTCTCCCTCAAAAATGAAGAATTCAGTAGGTAGGCTTCAAGCAGATTGAATACGACAGAACAAGAGATCAGTGAGTTTGAAGATCGGACAATAGAAACTATCTGATATAAAACATAGGACAAAGGAATGAAAAGGATAGAGCCTCAGTAACCAAGCAGTCTAACATTTATGTAATTGTAACTCTACGAGAAGAGAAAGAACTTGTAGAGAAAAGAATATTTAAAGAACTAATGGCCTCCAATTTTCCAATTTTGATTCAAAATTTTCAACCCACAGTTCCAAGAAGCCCAGTGAATGTCAAGCAGGATAAACACAAAATCACACTTATGTGTATCATAGTCAAGTTGTTGAAAAGTAAAGTAAAGAGAAAAATCTTAAAAGCACCCAAAGGAAAAAGATCCTTTACCTACATAACAGGGTAAACAATAAAAAAATACCACGGCTTTTACATCAGAAATAGTGAAAGCCAAAAACAACAGGAGAACATCTGAAAGGTCTTGGGGATGGGGTTAGGAGGGGTACTCTCAACGTAAAATTGCATACCAGCAAAAATATCCTTCCAAAGTGCGGGCAAGTAAAGATGCTGTAGAGTTAGAAAAACCGGCAGTTTGTCATTAGCAGACAGAAGGAAATAAAAGAATACCGTCAGGTGAACACAGTAGTAGTTGCTGTAGGCAAGATTGATCTGCGGGTGAAAGTTTGAGGAGGACAAAGATATTCACATGGTCTCAAAGTATCTTTTCTGAACTAATTAACTACAAAGGGAAAGAATAACTTTATGGTGGAGAAACTTGGCAGATATGATTCTTTTTTTTTTTTTTAAAGATTTTATTTATTTATTTATTTGACAGAGATCACAAGTAGGCAGAGAGGCAGGCAGAGAGAGAGAGGAGGAAACAGGCTCTCCAACGAGCAGAGAGCCCGATGCAGGACTCAATCCCACGAAACCGGGATCATGACCTGAGCCGAAGGCAGAGGCTTTAACCCACTGAGCCACCCAGGCGCCCCTGGCAGACATCATCTTAAAGAAGATTAACATCACCAGTTATAAGACATATTGACATTAACCTCCTTGACATGATGCATTGAGAAGGTGCAGCATAATTTCTGTGGCATTATTGTGGCACTACACACACACATACACACACACACCACATCTTCTTTATCCATTTATTCATTCGATGGACATTTGGGCTCTTTTCATAGTTTGGCTATTGTTGATAGTGCTGCTGTAAACATTGGGGTATGTGTGCCCCTTCAGATCAAGTTTTTGTATCCTTTGGGTAAATACCTAATAGTGCAATTGCTGGGTTGTAGGGTAGTTCTATTTTAAACTTTTTCAGGAACTTCCATACTGTTTTCCAGAGTTGCTGCACCAGTTTCCATTCCTACCAATAGTGTAAGAGGTTTCCCCTTTCTCTGTATCCTTGCCAACATTCGTTGTTTCCTTTGTTGTTAATTTTAGCCATTCGCACAGGTGTGAGGGGGTAGCTCATCATGGTTTTGATTTGTATTTCCCTGATGATAAGTGATGTAGAGCATCTTTTTATGTGTCTGTCGGCCATCTGTATGTCTTCTTTGGAAAAATGTCTGTTCATGTCTTCTTAACATTCATTCTTAACTGTTTATTTTTTTGGATATTGAGTTTAGTGAGTTCTTTATAGATTTTGGATCCTAACGCTTTATTAGACATGTCATTTGCAAATATCTTCTCCCATTCCATAGATTGGCTTTTTGTTTTGTTGCTTCCTTTGCTGTGCAGAAACTTTTTATCTTGATGATGTCTCAGTAGTTCATTCTTGTCATTAATAGGTAGAAGGAAATAAAAGAGCACTAGGTGTGATATTTAAGTGATGAATCACTAGTTTCTACTCCTAAAATCAAAATCATTCTATATGTTAACTAGAATTTAAATAAAAACTTCAAACAAAAATAAAATGAAAATAAAAACACATCATCAGAATTTGTAAAATAAAAGTAGTGGTTAGAAGAAATACTGTAGTCCAAAATGCTTACCTTAGAGAAGAACAAGGTTTAAAAACAATGATCCAACCTTTCCTTTTTAAAATTATTATTATTATTTTTAAGATTTTATTTATTTATTTGACAGAAAGCACAAGCAGGGGGAGAAGCAGGCAGAGGGATAGGGAGAAGCAGGCTCCCCGCTGAGCAGAGAGCCCGACATGGGACTCTATCCCAGTACCCTAGGATAATGACCTGAGCCAAAGGCACAGACACTTAACCTAGTGACCCACCCAGGCGCTCCTCTTTTTTTTCTTTTTTAATTTAAGATTTGAGAGAGAGCACAAGCAAGGGGAGGGGCAGAGGAAGAGGGAGAGGCCCCCCACTGATCAGGGAGCCTGAAGCTGGGCTTGATCCCAGGACTCTGGGATCATGACCTGAGCCAAAGGCAGATGCTTAACCGACTGAGCCACCTAAATGCCCCTAATCCAATCTTTGAAAATAAGAATCTTAGAGAAAGGAGAACAAAATAAACTCAGAGTAGATGTAAGGAAAAAACATGAGAATAGAAATCAAGGAAACAGAAAAGTAGAGGGGAAAAAAGTGATACCAATGGCTGATTTCTCTAAGAGATCTAAAAATTGGTAAACCCATATCTAGGTTGATTAAGAAAAAAGGGGGAAATACAAATTTACAGAGCCTACAGATACTAAGAAGCTATTAAAGGATTATTGTGAACATTATGCCAATATATTTGACAACTCAAATGGTATTCTCAAATCCCTTGAAACATAAATTATAAAACAGGCACAAGAAGAAATAGAATTTCTGTCTAGCCTGTATCTGTTCAAAATTTTTTGAGTTTGTAACTAAAAATCTTACTGCCAAGAAAACTCTAGAGCTAAATGACTTCAGTGGTGAATTCTGTGACACATTTAAGGAAGAAATAATACCCATCTTATACAAACTCAGAAAATAGAAGAAAAGACAATATGTGTAAGTTCATTTTAAGAAATCTGCAAACCCAGATTATCAAAGTCAGACATTGACATTGTTTAAAAAGAAAATAGACCTAGTATTCCTCATGAACATAGATGTAAGATCCTCCACAAAAAATTAGGCTATAAATCCAGTAGTATTTTATTTATTTAATTTTTAAAAAGATTTTATTTCTTTGACAGAGAGAGAGAGAAAAAGCACAAGTATGCAGAGCAGCAGGCTCTCTGTCAAGCAGGGAGCCCGATGTGGGGCTTGATCCCAGGATCATGGAATACCTGAGCCAAAGGCAGCCGCTTAACCAACTGAGCCACCCAGGTGCCCCAATATCCAGTAATATTTTAAAGTATAATATGACTTGATAGGATTTATCCCAGGAATGGAAAGTTGGTTCAATATTCAAATATCAATCATTGTAATTCATCATAGGATTGTCTCAATAGATGAAGGAAGCTCATTCAGCTACATGCAGCATCCATTCATGATTTAAGATAAAAACAGCAAAAACTCAGCTCATTAGGAATAGATACAAAGGTTAAGAATTGTTTCTGTATCAGATAACATACTTACTGAATAGGATAAATAAGATGTGATCACAAAGTGAAATTTCCATGTTATTCACAATAAATACCTTTAATGCTTCATACCAGGTAGTTTTTTTTTTCTTCATTTTTCAGCTTCTTTCTATTTCTATCATCCCTTAGGACAGAGGGTCCTAGTTGGTACAGTAAGGGCAGGAAAAGAAATAAAATTAATAAAGATAAAAAAGGATTGAAAGTTGTCTATATTAACAAATGACATAAATATACAGAAATATTTAAAGGAATTTACAGAAAACTATTAGAATTCATGACTGAATTTAGCCAGATCACAGGGAAAATGGTCAGTATTCAAAAACCAGTGAACAAATGGAAAGTGAGTTTTTTTTTTTTAAGATTTTATTTATTTATTTGACAGACAGAAATCACAAGTAGGCAGAGAGGCAGGCAGAGAGAGAGAGAGAGAGCACGGGAAGCAGGCTCCCTGCTGAGCAGAGAGCGTAACTGTGTAGCTATAGTAATCCAGGCAGTGTGATATTCCCATGCATCTTGAAAACAAACTTTAGGCATGATTCTTTGCATTAGCCAGAATTTAAAAGTTACTTCAATAGCAAGTAATTTTTGAGCTTAAGTCTGTACTAAATACTGTAGGAGGAGACAAGCCCAATTAGGTACAGCACCTTTTATGTATCTGATATTTATTAGATAAGATAAATATGATGTCATTACAAAGTGAGATATATCTCCATAAATGTCATTCCCTTCCGTATTTTTTGTTTTCCCTAGTGACTGCATATTCAATTTATAATAAAACTAAATTTTATTTTAAATTGAGGCTTTTAGAAAGTAAGGTTCCTTTACAATCACAACCAGGTACGATAGGAGTTCAAGACAACTGAATTTTGTTGAATGGACAGGATTTGAGTGTGGGAAAGTGAGAGGACATAGATGGAGAAAACCTCATTTATTCATCACATGAATCTGCATGCAGCTATAGCAATGAATAAAACAGAAATCCAAGCCCTCATGGACCTCATGTTCTAGTGGGGAGAGGCAAAGAGTGAACAGCATAAATAAAAAAATATATACTATCTTATCTTATATCTTATCTAATATCTAAAATATATACTATCTTATCTAATATAAGATAATATATATCTTATATATTGATAAATAGTAGGAAAAAAAATAAAACAGGAAAGGGGCATAAGGAGCAAAGGATAGAGGACTGCAATTATAAATAAGGATGCCCAGCAAAGACTGTTGAGAAGGAGACAATTTAATATAAATTAAAGGACCTGAAAGTATCTAGGAAAAGAGTACTCCGAAAAGAGGAAACAAAAATATGAAGCAAGCACACGTGTGCTATACTGGAAAAAAAACCAAGGAGACTAATATGGCTGAAGCAGATACAATAAGTTAGTAAAGGAAAAGTTGGTGGGGAGGGCAAATTATAGAGTCTTGTAGGCAAGTCTAAAAATTTTTTCTTTTAGTTGAAATGATATGGAAAGCCACTGCTGAGATTTTTGAGCAAATAAGTGACATGTTCTGATTTAGGTCTTAAAGATATTATTCTTTGGGTGGTTTCCAGAGTAAACTGAAGGGACATGAAAGTGGAATTAAAGAGACCAGTTAAGCTATTGCAGTAATTCAGGCAAGAGATAATGGTTTAGATCAAGTTGGTAGCATTGGAGGTATTAAGAAATGGTAAGATTGGTATAAATCTTACAAAGGCCATTACAAGTTATTTTGTTTTGTTTTGTTTTTAAGATTTTATTTATTTATTTGACAGAGAGAGAGATCACAAGTAGGCAGAGAGGCAGGCAGAGGGGGGAGGGAAGCAGGCTCCCCATTGAGCAGAGAGCCCAATGCTGGGCTCGATCCCAGGACCCTGAGATCATGACCTGAGCCAAAGGCAGAGGCCCAACCCACTGAGCCACCCAGGTGCCCCTAAGATTAGTATAAATCTTAAAGGCAACAAGATTTGCTGGCAGATCAGATGTGGAGGGATAATGTGAAACAAAAAGTTGAGGGTGACCCAGAATTTTTGGGTGAACAACTAGAAGGATTGAAATGCCTTTAACTCAGTTGGGGGAGAATATAAGAGGAACAGGTTTGTAGGAGATTAAGAGTTTTGTTTTAGGGGTGCCTGGCTGGCTCAGTAGGTAAAGCATGCCATTCTTGATCTCAGGGTTATGAATTCAAGCCCCACTTTGGGTGTGGAGCCTACTTAAAAAAAAAAAAAGGTTTTGTTTTAGACAGGTTTGCATAGTTGGTATGCAGTTGGAGTTTAAGGTAAGAGCTTAAGAGAAGAGGTCCAGTCTGGAGATGATAATTTGAGGGTTGACAGGATATGGATATATTTAAAGCCATGAGATTGGATTTGATCATAATGGAGTCAAAATGTGGAAGAAGAGACCGAAAGACTGAGGCCCAAGTCACTCTCATATCAAGAGATGAGGAGAGATGAGAAGGAAACAGCAGGAAACTAAAAAGGAGCAGCCAGTGAGGTAAAAGGAGAACCAGGAGAATCATATTGTCAGGGAAACAAAATAAATACTTTTAAAGAAGAAGTAATCTATGTCAAATCCTGCTGATAGTTCAAATAAAATGAGGATTGAGAATTGACAGTTAGATTCCTTGGTGACTTGATAACTCTTTTGGAGGAGTGTTGTTGAGGTGAAAGCCTGATTGGAATGAGTTTAAAAGTATGGAGGTTGAGAAGCTGGGGACAGCAAGTAATATAGGCAGCTTTTCTGATGAGTTATGCTATAGATATGTAGAGAAAGATGTGGTCACTAAGGGCAAAATGGGAGTAGTTTCTTTTTTAAGGGAAAATAGTATTGTATTTACGTACTGGCAAGAATGATTTGATAGTGAGGGAGAAATAACAATGAAAGAAAAAAATGAGAAGAATTGCTGGAGTAATGTACTTAAGAAGGCCAAGGGGGAGGGTTTCAGAGCACATATGGAGAGTTTGGCTTTTTCTAAGATCAGGTCTGTGTTGGGGATCACCAAGACTATTTCCAGATGATTGTCCGGAAAGACTCATAGGACTCAGCATATAGTTGTACTCATGGTTATGATTTATTACAGTGAAAGGATATACAGCAACATCAGTGAAGAAAAGGTGCTTGGGGTGGGGTGCCCAGCCAACTCAGTTGGTAGAGGATGTGACTCTTGACCTCAGGTTGTGAGTTCGAGCCCCATATTGGGTATAGAGATTACTCAAAAATAAAATCTTTTTTTAAAAAAAAGAGGAAAAGAAAAGGTAGATGGGTGAAATCCAGAGGAAACCAGTTGTAAGCTTCTAAACATTCTTGCAGGGGAGTCACACCCGATGCATTTAATTTGGATAGCAATGAGTTGTAATGGGTGAAATGTTGTCTGTGAGAGATGCTCATGAGAAATTCAGTGCCCCTAATTTTTCACTGGGGCCTGGCCACATAGATACCCTGTGCCTAACATGTACCAAAAACCCAACCAGAAGGACAGTAGGTATTCAGCATAAACCATATTTTTTGCAAAAACAGATTTAACATAGTGAACTTTAATTTTACTATTTGGGAAATGATGGGAATATCCCAGAATCTAAGGTCCCAGACTACAGCCCAGAGCCAACTTATATTCAGTCCATTATAAGGATAGCAGTGTCAGGCTTACTATGCTATTCTGCATAAGGTCCAATTTATTCATAGTGATAGGAGAGAAGTCATAGATGAAGGATCAGTGTGGAGGGCAATAAGCAAAAGTTTGGTAGTGAAACTGAGGATACTGTATAGAGACAAAAGACTTTTAAAAAGCAGTGCTTATTTTAAAAATAGGTGATTGTCGGTGAATAAATGTTATGGAATGCTGGTCTCTTTTTAAACCCAAGTGCACCATAGAGAAGTAACTTGGTAAGATATATCAATATGATTAGATACTATATTGCCATGGTAACCATAATTCTGAATTTTTGTGGTGATTTCAATTTTAAATAAATGATATTACTTCTTATATCCTATAAAATCTAATATTCTGGTATACACCAAATATAATTACAACTCTTGTATCCAATATAGCAAATTGTAAGACATGATATACTAGGCCAGGTGTTCTGATTTGGGATCAGAAAACCAAAGCATAGCTATTAAAAATATTTGGCAGAATACAAAATAGTGTGTACATACTAATTACAAGTAAATGAAAATGTATTTCTGTATCTTAGGCAAAGTTATATAAATAGTATAATTTTCTTTTTCCTATAAAATTGCTCATATGTAGAGGGAAATGTTTAATATTTTTGTTATGATACTAAGACTTCACTATGCCTTGGTGATTTTTTTTTTTTTTAATAGGGTCAAGAATTTGCTCCAAAGAGTGTGGCAATAATTGGTCATTCTATGGGTGGCCTTGTTGCAAGAGCATTGCTTACTCTGAAAAATTTTAAACAAGATCTGATAAATCTTCTTATCACACAAGCCACCCCTCATGTTGCTCCTGTGATGCCATTAGATCGTTTCATAACAGGTAAGTACTATTACATAAGCACTAAACGACCTCTCCATTGTTGTTTAAGATTAAACAGATCCTTACATCTACCTCCTCTAAAAGTGTGCTGCAGATTTATCCATGTGTGAAGCAACTCAGTTTCAAATTAACACCTCCATTTCTTAGCATCTTTCTTTGTGACTTTCAACTGAGGCTAATAATTGAGACTGTTGTTAGTTTTCTTTGTCCATAGTGTCCCACCATGTAGAGCTGTGTCTTATAATCCCTAGACATTTGGGAATCAGTTTAATTACTCTTGGGGATGACTCTCTGTCACTTAAAGTATGTTTAAAATTCCTGTGTTTTGTTAACTCTTCGAGTACTCTATTCAAAATAAGCTTATATGTAAGTGAAACAGTAGAAATGGCTTCTTTTTAAATAAATAGATCTACTAATGCTTTATATGGTGTGCTAGAATTGCTAATATTTATTACTGTAATTTGGATGTTGTATTAAGGACTTTACATGATGTATTATTATTTCACTTGATGCTTAGAGTAGTCCTTTGAGGTAGGTACCATTATTTGCATGTTTAAAGAAAGTCAAGTATTATCTTCACTGTTTATTGATATGTGGTACGATAGAATAAAGTCCTTGAAAACAAAGAATTTTTTCCTGATCAGTAAATTTACGCCACTTCTTACCCTATCAAAATTTGCATTATCTTGAGGAAAGAGCTTCAAGAGGGTCTGATTTTATTGTTTTTGAAGGGTTGCGATGGTCTGCCTCTAAAATGTTCAGGCTGAAAGTAATTCTTAGGGTCAGATTACCTTTCTAGTAATCAGTAAGCCTCTTTCTTATTTATTCTGTATTTATTTCATTTTTCATTAAGCCAGAATCAGAATGAAAAAACAAAAGTTCAAGGGGTGGCAGATCCTACGTTTTTAAGAGACTTGTATGACCTTCTGAAGTACATTCCCTGTTTATACTTGATAGAAATACTGTCCTTAAATAGGGGGAAGGAAGCTGTGCACTGGGCTCCACACTTTAGAGGGCTCTGCTCGGGCATTGCCATTCTCCACGAGGTGAGGATTATATAGGCCAGGCAGCCTCCCCACCTGCAGGTTGTGCCTTTACTTCTGGAAGATGATCTAGGTAACCAGGCCTTCAGACGTCTTCCATGGCCTGTGTGGGCTTCCTACCTGAATCTTACCTGAGGGCAGGGATATAAGTAAGCTTGAATTGTGGCTAAGGAATGGCTCTGCATGAGATACAGATAGAGCTTGGACATCCTGCATCCTTATAATGCAGAATGGGAAAGAAGAGATGATAGTTCAGTGATGTGTCAGAGATCTGCCCTTCCTGTGCTGCCATAATCTAGTATTCATCTGTGAGGTGTCCTGGAATTTGAAATTTGAACTTGGCCTTCCAGATTATTTCAATGATATATTTGTCAATGTAGGCAGAGAAAATATATTTGATTTAACAGTGTGTTAGCTGGAATTTTTACTTTAATTTAAATTTAAATTTAATTTAAAATTTTAATTTTAAGTATTTAGACATAAGGCCATGTGTACCCCATTGGTATTCTTGTCCCACGACCTGCAGATGTTAGGCATGTTAGGAATTGGGAATCCTTAATCACATTCTAAGTGAATACTGCTGAGATCTTCAGTGGGCGGAGTTGCTGTTCCAAAATGTTGAAGCCCTCAATGGGATCAAATGCCAGGATGAAAGTATATTAAGTTTTGATAATCAGAAAAGGAAATGAGAATTCCTCTGCCCTTGCCTCAAATCTTTGATGCTGTATTTTTCTCATCTTCCATAGATAAAGTGGAAAAATTGCATATTCTTCCTATTGAACTACCTGTTACTTACTCTAAATGGGTGGAACCTTCTTAACCCCTAGATTTTCCACAGTAGCATTAAGTCCCAAGACTAAAGTGATTGTTGTTGTCTTCATTGTATTTTAAGAACTTACATAGTACTTTGTGTGGTGGTGGCTGCCCACAGTAGAGAGCTGCTAAGCTCTCACACTGCCGTGATTAGGAAGATCTATAATTCTTTAACATAGTGAACTTGTATCTTTGGAAGAATTTTAGGGGTTTCTACTTGCTATGCTGTGTAGCTCATGATCTAGCAGCATTCTTGTGGCATGTAGAGACCTGTTTTTATATGGAGTTGTTAAAACTAAAAAAGTTTGGGTATCTTTTTTCTTTATTGATAACTTCAGTAACTCTTAGTATTCGTAGTCTTACTTAAGGGGAAAACAGACTCTATAAAGATACTGATTTTACTCAGGATAGGGAAATGTGAATAACATTGTTTATAAACAATTCAGTATGGCTCAATAGAAATTCAATTTAATATTAGTATCATAGATACCTTATTGTTGCAGGGAGTGACTAACTTTTAATATGTGTCTTTATTTCCTACCAGATTTTTATATGACTGTAAACAACTATTGGATTCTAAATGCTAGACACATAAATTTAACCACACTTTCTGTAGCTGGAGGATTCCGGGATTACCAAGTTCGTTCAGGACTGACTTTTCTACCAAAATTAAGCCATCATACCAGTGCCTTATCCGTTGTGGTAATCTTTTTAAGATTCTACTGAAATAGAAACAGAATGGATACAGTGGGATATGAAAAGAGAAATATGTAGTTGTTTGAAAATGACTGCTTAGTTGGTGTAGTGTCGCTATGTGTGTATGTGCACGCGTGTGAGAGAATATGAAAAATGAATATGATTATGTTGGGAAGGCAGAGGCATGGGTGCACAGAAAGTGGAAAAGATCTTAGAGAGTTTGTGAAAATGATTTATTTATGAAAGTGACTCTTAATAAATAGTTGTTCCTTGTTTAAAATAAGTACCTACCCATTGATGAAAGTTTTAATTGTAAGAAAGTATGGACTGAAGTCCAGGGGCCCCTGGTTATATCTGAGTGCTATTTACGGTAGAAATGGAATATCAGACTCTTGAGTGCTAAACTTGAATAAAGGTTTACCAATTTTAAAATTTAAAAATTAGCTTTGCTAGTATAACAGAACCCTGATTGATTAATTTGCTAATTATTCTTCCCTGTTAGGACATCAAGTATTTGGTCTTTAACAGGGATACATAGCCTCTGTAAAGTGAGTTCAAGTTTCCTTTTAGGACTTAAATTATTTCTTATATTTTCAGCCTTGAAGTCTTCAGTTAAGATCTGAACTTTTTAACTCTACACAGTATGCAGATATTGTATGTAGTATATATAGATGTGTATACTGCACATCATCTCCAAATATAACCTAATTTCTAAAAAGAAATCCAGTATTTCTTTTGCTTTTTAGGAGCTAGTCCTTTGTTTTGTGGTTGTTCTCTTCATGAATATGCCCTTGCTTAGTTCACTTATTGCCCCACTTATACGTTACTGTTCATTTATTAAACAAGTATTATTGAATGGTTGCCACACATAGGACTAGGACAAAAATTATTAAGCCATGGTTAATGGTTAACCATAGCTTAAACCACGGCTAATGGTATTAACCTACCATTTCGTGTTACTGAAGGAGCTGTGATATAACCATAATAGCTTTGAAACTAAATTGGTGAATCTCTCAAACCTCATTATTGGTATGTATTGTTCTATTTGATTTTGAATATTTGGGGCAAATATTGCTGGAAATCCTCAAAACACTAAGTACCAATTCTTTAGTAAACATAGATGTTAGTCATATAAAATTGGATTGTAATTATTTCTAGACTTGACCTGGAGCATGTTGCTTTATTGATGCTCCTTCTGCAGCTTATCTTTTAAAGAACTTTGGTTTCTTTAATTGTGTGTGTGTGTGTGTGTGTGTGTGTGTGTGTGTGTGTGCGCGCACGCGCGCGCGCTCATGCACCTGGTGTGTCCCTCTTTTCTAATCCATTTGATGATTTGTTGCTTTCAAGGCAGCTTATATTTCTGTATCTCTGATGAAAATATTTTACCTCTTAATGTAATTTCCTGAAAGCTGGTTATTATCTCAGTTTTATTTAGTATTTTAACCCTCAAATATTTTATAACATTTCATATATCTGCATATATGTTTACTTTAGAAAAGTAATTATTAAGAAGTAACAATTTTTTGGTGATTATCTCAAGAATAATTAATTGACATTTATAGCCACCAGGACTAGAAAAATTAAGTTAGAGACCTAGGTCATATTAGTATTAGTAGGGTAGGCTGAACTGCTGTCATATACATTCATACAGATAATGGCACTTAAACATTTTGTTTGCTCCTGTACCTGCCCTAGGTATGTATTTAAGTTAGTGGATGGTTTTTGAAGGAGTCCCTTTAAGGGACTTAGGCTCTAGCAACCCTTTCTTGAATGCAGAGAGAGAGACTCTGTTGAAAATAATATCAGATTTACTTAATGTTTCCTGTTGTATGTAAGATACTATTCCCAGGAAATTCATTAGCTAGTATGAAAAGAAGTCTCTAGTTCTTGAAGGGGGTTGTGCCATTGTTAGGAAGCCTTCTTCAGATATATTTTTTGAGCCTTTTGGTGTCTAGTACTATATATCCTAATCTAGGGTTTTTTTCAGAATAAGTAACCCTACACCATACTTGTGGTGTCTGATTTGGGGGCACCTGGGTGGCTCAGTCTTTTAAGCATCTGACTTTTGATTTTGGTTCAGGTCATGATCTCAGGGTTGTGAGATCCCGCCCTGTGTTAGGTTCTGGTTTGAGGTTGGGGCCTGCTTAAGATTCTCTCTCTCCCTCTCTTAAAAAAAAAAAAAAAAGTCTGATTTGATAGCTTTGGAATTGTGATCAGGCATATTTATTTTAAAAAAGCTCCCTGGGGCTGGGTATTTCTCAGGCACACCTGATTAAGAAGTAACATCTTGGAATTTATCAAAGGGTAGTCTAGTCAAAACTAAAATTACTAAAATAATTGTGACAAACTCAGCCTCTTAATAGATTAATAAAGAGTTAGATATTAAAGTCTAGTAAGGAATCTGTAGATGCTTTGATAATTTTTAAGGGGTAATTTAAGCTTAACTAAGCAGTAATGATACTGATTTTATATAGGAGCTGCCTTAATATTTTTGGATCACCTTTCTAAGAATGCATCATTTAAATATGCATCATAATATAGTGAAACTAATATTACATGTTTCTAAATATTAGCTTATGAGAATTTTAAACCTCTGGGAGAATAAAAAATGGAGTTTTCTTAAGTTGGATTTTCTTTTCTTGTCCTTTTAGAGCTCAGCAGTGCCTAAGACCTGGGTTTCAACAGACCACCTTTCCATTGTATGGTAAGTTAATATGTAATAGGGTTATTTTGGTGGTTTATGGTGTCCTTTTTTCCTATCAGTGCATTGATTGGTTTGTTAGCTTTGTTAGCACTTTATCCTTAAGTAACAAAGATTTGGAAGAAAGATTGACTTAAAGGCTTAGAACTTTAACTTTGGTTTTTGTCTCAATTTGACCAACGTTCCCTTGATGACTTATAAAATCATCTCTTGAAGAACTACTAGCACGAATCGCAGATACAGCTAGTCAAATACCAAAATTTTAGAGTTTGTCATAGTTGGGCAGAATCAAAGATACTTGTGATAGGATCTTCAGAGCTCTTGACCAGTCACCAAACTCAGGGACTTGAGTAATATGGCATTTACTATTCTAGAACATGAAAAACCAAGTAGGAGTTAGATAGTTAGATTTACCCTTAATATAAATAGATTAAATAAGGGTTAAGAAATACATAGACCCTAGTATCTTATCACTATATGTTTTGGCTTTAAAAAAATTCTTTTAAAAAAAAAATTCTTTTTTTCACTTTCCTCTGGCTGTGCAGTCAGTGTCTGCAAGAAGTGCAAGTTTAGGCATAGAGAGAAGGGGCGGGCGGTTGTCTGTGACCGGGGTGGGCAAAGACTTACGGAGAACGGAAGGACCATGATAGTTCATTGTCAGATGTTGTCAAGCGGAAGATTTAATGGCTTTATTTTTTATATGGTTCAACTTTAAGATATATGCTTAATTATAATGATTCCCTAAATACTTCTAGAGTTTAGAGCAGCAGACTCAGATATTCCATTAAGTAATAGAATTGTGCATGTTTGTATCAAAAGTATATTTTTGAATAAAGTTTCATTATAACATTATAACATTTTATTCTTTAGGTGTAAACAATTGCAGTTGACTACAATTCGAGCATTCTTTGATCTTATTGATGCTGATACTAAACAAGTATGTATTTTTAAGTTAAAAATAACTTCAGTAGGGGTGCCTGGGTGACTCAGTGGGTTAAGTCTCTGCCTTCGGCTCAGGTCATGATCTCAGAGTCCTGGGATCAAGCCAGGCATCAGGCTCTCTGCTCAGCAGGGAGCCTGCTTCCCTCCCCCTCTGTGCCTGCCTACTTGTGATCTCTCTCTCTCTCTGTGAAATAAATAAATAAAATCTTAAAAAAAAAATTACTTCAGTAAAGTAAAAGCTTTTGTTACAGTAGGAATGGATTTAATTTTTTTTAACTTCCACAAAAGTAGAAGCCTTAATATGTTATATCAACTGTAATTAGTTTCAAAATAGAAATATATTTTTATCTGATAATACTTTGATCACTATTAATAATTAATAGAATGTTGGGGCGCCTGGGTGGCTCAGTGGGTTAAAGCCGCTGCCTTCGGCTCAGGTCATGATCCCAGGGTCCTGGGATCGAGCCCCGCATCGGGCTCTCTGCTCAGCAGGGTGCCTGCTTCCCTTCCTCTCTCTCTCTGCCTGCCTCTCTGCCTACTTGTGATCTCTGTCTGTCAAATAAATAAAATCTTAAAAAAAATTATAAAAAAAAATAATAATAGAATGCAATGAAAATGAGAAAGTAAAAAGATGCTTTAAATCTTCCCCCAATTCTTCCCCTTTAGTTGTTTAAAATTTGCTATATATCTTTTTAACTTAAGGAAGATATTTACTACAAGCTGTTTTATCCTTTTTTTTAATATGTTGTAAACTTCATGATGTATCATAATATACATTTTTGCTTAAAATTAAAAAAAAAATTTTTAATTTAAAAAATTTTTTTTAATTTTAAAATTAAAAATAAATTTTTTTAAGAAAAGCATCTTTATCTTCCTGGTAGGACCAAAATGTCTTCATTAATTAACTAACCCAAGCTCTCCAGAACTTAAATTATGTATTTTCAGTAGTTAAATGTTTTTTGTAATGAGATTTCACTTATAAACTTTATAAACCAGTGATTTTCCAAATTCAATTAATAGGACACCTGGAAATCCTAGCGCCATTAATAAACATCGTATTACTCTTGCATGTCTGCCAGCAGATATTTAGTAATCAGCAAAATTCAGGGAATTTTATCCATGAACTTAAATTTTTTTCTGTGATTTGGGAACAGATTGCTATTTTTCATGTTAGGCAGCCTTTTTTTTTTTAAACTCAGGTCACCTTGTAGTTCTTCACTGTTTCGTAGAACACGTTTTGAGAACTGTGGCTATGGCTTATCCTTTTGGAGAAAGATTCCTTGTGTATTAGGTAATTTTCTTCACTATGGCAAAGTATTTAGCTCAGATTTTTTTGGATTCTTCCCCATGAAGACTCCAATTTTTGGGGAGATTAGTATGTGTGACCTCTTTCTCATTAGATCTCTAGGTATTGCTTTCCTTATTGTGTCTTAGAGCTTAGAAAAGCCTTTTATAAGGCTTTTCACTCTTGGAAGTGGGATAGTGCTTTTGTTTTTTTCCTTAACCCTTCAGAAAGCTGCGGAACTACTGTTAGAATCATAGATACTTTCCTCTCTCCTGAAGAATACAATAAAAGAGAGACCCCCCCCCCCCCACGCCAAAAAGAGAGAGACCCAAACTATTGTGTTTTGCCACATTTTAAGCCACAAGATGCCATATTTAGGTTAGTATATTTATTAAAGTAAATCAGCTTTATAGAGTTAACACTATGAAGTGGTCATGGAATGCAAACATTTTTTAGTTTTTCAACTTTGTTTTAGTTATGAGTCTTCACTATGGCAAATGTTCTTTTACTCAGTTTGAGAGAGTGCAGCTAGACATAACAGAATCAATTAAAATTGTAAGATTTGTGTTTGGAATGACATTTGGTAGGCTTAGGGAAAAAACCCATTTCAGCCCATGAGAAACAGTAGTATCGGGATACCCGGGTGGCTCAGTGGGTTAAGCCACTGCCTTCGGCTCGGGTCATGATCCCAGAGTCCTAGGATCGAGTCCAACATCGGGCTCCTTGCTTGGCGGGGAGCCTGCTTCTCTCTCCACCTCTGCCTGCCTCTCTGCCTACTTGTGCACACTCTCTCTCTCTCTCTCTGACAAATAAATAAATAAAATCTTAAAAAAACAAACAAACAGTAGTTTCACAGACAGGTATAGTCTTTAAAAATTGTGCAGAAAGCCAATTTTTTGTATTAAGGTGTAATTGACACATTACATAAAACTAATTTTAATAAATCTTGTTTTCCATTAAAACCTGTGATGAGAAAATTATTAATACTAGTGTGTAATAAAATATAATTCTGGATAGATAAGTAATTTACTGACACATTTTAAGGGACAACTGAGAAATTTTTGGTAACCAATATTGTTAGGAATCAAAATACAAAACTGAGTTCTGTTTCACAAACTCACTATGTATAATCAACTAGACTAAATATTAAACAATAAAAAGTTAGTCTATGATTGCTATCCCTCAAGAAGATATTAGGAAGAGAAGCAAACATATATACAGGGAAATTGTAACTCCACGTAATTAGTCCCAAACGTGTGGTACAAAGGAATCAGAATTAGAGAATAATTTCTGATGGTTATCAGCATAAAAGACTTAGCTGAAAAACTTATGAGTGGATGGATTTCCTAGAGAGTGAGTAAGGATGGAAGAGTCCCGAGTTAACTAAATTTTGGCAAAAAAAGACCTTTTACTTTTAATTGATTGTGAACAGATGTGGCTACTTTAAAAAAAAGAACTAGTTTTGTATTAGATTGAGATGATTGAAATATTGTGTTGGTATCAATGAAGATAAAATTTCTATTGCCTTCTACTATAGTTACATGGTATCTAAGGAACTATATTCTGTTTTGTATGTTGTATTATAAGGAGGATGTTAACAAACTTGAGTTTATCCAGGGAAGGCAGTCAGGGTGATGAAGAGTTTGAAACAGTTCTGTGAACAACAGTTGATATGTTTGAAGTTTAATCTGTAAAGAAATGTTTTATTGGATGGGGGTTGTAACAGTCTTCAATTTCTTGAAGGGCTGCCCCCTAACTTAATATATCAAAGTAACAGTGAGTCAGATACTTGCCCTAAATATGGCAGAGCTTTCTCCTCAAAGGAGTTGTTAAAATTGGAATGTATTAGCTTTCACAGTAGCAAGTTAGAAATAAATGTTCAAGCAAATGCTGGGTGACTTCCTAAAGAATTAAAAAGATTTACTAGACCTGGGTCCTCACTGTCATTTCTTTGTCATTCTCTCATTATGTTGTTGAGAAAATCACTTACCTGCAGGGCCTCCTCAGTGCTTAAACTAGAGAGTTGAATAGTGGTAGATTCTGAATGGGTTTTAGACCCGAGGACTTTTTTTTTATTTCTTTAAGGGAGGAACTGGTATAAAGTTGCAGACATTTATTGTGTTAGGATATTTTAAAACAGACAACAAAAAATCCTATTGTCTGCTCTCATTTTCATTTCATGAAAGAAAGGATATTTAGACACAATGAGAGTAAGTAAGACAGGGTAAAGCAAAGTGGTTTCCAAGGAAGTGCAATTGGCAATTCATATTTTCTCTAATGATCAGTTAATTCTTTGCTGTGGGATTGGCACGGGTCTGAGTTTGGAAAGTAGTGTGTTGGAGTTGCTAGACTGGAGGACCTCGTAAGTTCTCATCTGACTCTATACACCTTTGTATGTTTTATTCTTAACTGTTACTTAAGAGGTACTAGTCTGGGCTCTGGAGCCAGACTGCCTGAGTCCTGGCCCAGATTGTTAGTAGGAGTATGACCTTGGGCAAGTTCCTTAATTTCTCTGTGCTTTAGTTTCTTGGCAAAAATACAAATAAAAGGGTTATTATCTCTTAGAGCTCTTGTGATGGTTAAATGAGTTAATAACATATTCAGTACTTAGAAGATTGCCTGGCCCAGAGTAAGTAACTGTTGTCTCTTACTATGTTATTACTTGATGCAAAGTTTCATTGAACTATCATAATGGATACTAAAAGATACAAAAATGTATCATTCTTTCTAGATAACTCAAAATCCCAAGAAGAAATTGTCAGTCTTGAATCACCACTTTATAAGACACCCATCAAAACACTTTGAGGAAAATCCAGCAATAATTTCTGACCTAACAGGTTGGTGGTAATAACATGTTTTTATTTTAAATCGAGTTTTATTTTTAGGTAAATTTATTAGCAAAGTCTTTGCAACTGTGGTACTTAGCTACTATAATTTTATTATGTTTTATTAATTTCTCTGTGGTGGTTTCTTTTTTTTTTTTAATTTTTATTTATTTTTTTAACTTCTTTTCAGTGTTCCAGAATTCATTGTTTATGCACCACACCCAGTGCTCCATGCAATACGTGCCCTCCATAATACCCACCACCAGGCTCACCCAACCACCCACCCCTCTCCCCTCCAAAACCTTCAGATTGTTTTTCAGAGTCCACACTCTCACATGGTTTGTCTCCCCCTCCAATTTCCCCCAACTCCCTTCTCTCCGTCTCCCCGTGTCCTCCGTGTTACTTCTTATGCTTCTGTGGTGGTTTCTTAGGTTCTTGATTAAGGAAGAGAAAAAGGTAAGAAACAGTTTTATAAGATGTTGGTGATAAAAATTTTGTTCTGAAAATAACCTGACAAGTACAAAGTTTTAAAGTTAGAGTTAATTGTTGCTATTTCCTGACAGTCACATAAAATACTATAATTATTTTTGACTAAAGTTTTCAGTATCAGTCATTTTTTAGTCTTCTTTTGGTTTAATAGCATATCATTCGCTGTTAATATAATAGCTGTTATATTCACTTCGGAAAATAATTTCTTTTTTATTGATACTTCCTTTGAGGAAAGGCACCAAATAAATTTAAAATTCTTTACTTGGGGAGTGCCTGGGTGGCTCAGTCGTTAAACGTGTGCCTTCAGCGCAGGTCACCATCCCAGGGTCCTGGGTTTGAGCCCGACATCGGGCTCCCTGCTTGGTGGGAAGCTTGCTTCTCCTTCTCCCATTCTTTCTGCTTGTGTTCCCTCTCTTGTTGTGTTTCTATCTGTCAAATAAATAAAATCTTAAAAAAAAAAGCTTTACTTGATGTGAATGCTAGCAGTGATAAGCACAGACAACATCTTAGTAGGTTTCTTATTTTTTCTTTTTTTTAAATTTAATTTTATTTTTTCAGTGTTCCAAGATTCATTGTTTATGCAACACACCCAGTGTTCCATGTAATATGTGCCCTTTGTGATACCCACTACCAGGCTCTTATTTTAAAATAGCCATTGTTCAGGAAATCATGTCTTTTTCAAATCCTTTTGTAATTGAGAAGTATTTCATGAGCATTCAATAAAAGGAATAGTTTAATATTTAAAAAGCAAGCCAAATTCATTTCCTTTACCTTAGGGACATCTATGTGGGTTCCAGTGAAAGTATCCAAATGGACCTATGTGGCTTATAATGTAAGTATACCATGAATAGATTAAAAAAAATTTTTTTTCAAAAACATTTTGGTATTTATCTTTAAAAAATTAAAGACTTTTGGGGAACCTGGGTGGCTCAGCTGGTTGAACATCTGACTTTTGATCTCAACTCAGGTCTTGATCTCAGGGTCGTGAGTTCAAGCCCTGCATTGGGCTCCTCGCTGGGCATGGAGCCTACTTAAAAAATAATAATAATGATAAAAAATATATAAGTAAAAGTTAAAGACTCTTTTAAAAAGATATTTACATATATTTTTCCATATTAAAACAATGATAATTCCTTAATATCTAGTTAATGTTCAGTTTTCCAGTTTTATCATAACTGTTAAATTTTTTCTTTCTCACTTTTAAATGAGAATACACATAATATCCACATACTGTCATTTGTTAATATGTCTCTTATTGCTCTTTTAATCTCTCATATTTCCTCTACCCCTTTTCTTTCCTTGAAGCTTATTTGTTGAAAAAACAAGTCATTTGTCCTATAGAGTCGCATACAGTCTTGACTTTGCTGATTGCATTCCTTCAGTACCATTTAGTATATTCCTTTGTCTGCTCTTTTCCTGTAACTTAGTCCTTGGATCAGATTCATTTGCTTGATCAGATTCCGTTTTTGTTCTGGCTAGACTGTCTCTTTTTTTGTGATGTTAACAGCTGTTGATGAAGTCTGCCTAGAGTCATTAATTCATTTAGGGGATGCAAAAATATTGGTGCTCTAATTCAGTTATTTTTTTTTTATTAACTGAAACATTATTGGGAAATTTCGTATCTACCAAATTTATCAAAAGTGGAACATAGCAGGAAAGGAGAAAATTAAAATTGCTTGGGTCTTTGGATCTTGTATTTACTGGTTTTCAGTAATAGCGAGTTGGCTCACAAACCTCCTCTACTGGTGATCATAAACAGTTTGGGGTTTTTTTTTTTTCCTAGTATTATTATGAACTCATCTGTTAAACATGTTTCTATCTAAAATATTAAAATTCTTCTGTCTTTGACCAGTGGAAGTCATTTCAAGTTAGGCTCCTGAATCCTTTTGGTAAAGCTACTCTTTAGTTGTCTTTCTTTGATAGTTTCTTCACTACCTAATATGAGAAGATGTTTAAGCTCATTTTGTACATTTCCTGCCCCAGACCTTGAATCAGCTTTTTCTCTAAGGAGCTCTTTCTGTTATTTGGGAAATGGTGTCTAAAAACCATAATTTGGACACTAGAGATGTTTATGACTAGTGGGTTAGCATTTCTAGGCCTTTTCGGTGGACAGAGCTAAGAAATGTATTTTATGTTGATCATTAGGCCAAAACTCAAACCTAAACAAAAACATGCCTTTATACTGCTATTTCTAAGACATACTCAGGACCACAGGGTCCCTGATATCCCTGACTTAGATCTGTATCTTCTTCCCACTCCTAGAATATTGGAGAATACCTCAACAACACCAAGAATGATAACATTAGAATAATTTTTGCTTTATCTGTATATTTAAATGATGAAATTATCTACTCTTAATGGTTTTATTATGTTTTCCCTCTTTTTTTTTTTTAGGAATCTGATAAGATATATTTTACATTTCCTCTTGCAAATCATAGAAAAATCTACACTCATGTCTATTGTCAGAGCACCATGCTGGTAAGATAATTGGTACATTTTATGTAAATCTAAAAGTCTATTTTTAAGATTCAACTAATATCTAAGATCTTTTCTTTAGCTATGAACTATTATTAAATCTAATAAGTTGAAAAATATTTGTCTAAAACAGTTTTGATTGAAAAGTATTAATCAAAATATTTCTATAACTGATAATTTACTTCTAAATTATACTTTTGGCTCTAGTTCAGGTCTTTCACCCTGTTTTTCTACCTTACTTACAATCTTTAGGATGAAGGAATTCAGTTCAAATACCCTTATTTCTTTTTAATGAATACCTACTATCAGGTATTGTCCAAAAAAATGTGTCACATGCTATAACATGCCTTTGTTATATTTGGAATTTTTTTTTTACTTTTATTTTTTAATAATTTAATTATTTGTCAGCATTTCTTATTCTCAGGAACTTGTTTCTCCATTTAGGTTCTTTTCCCTCTTCCTGGATTTTTTTTTTCCTGTTTCTTCACTTTGTATTTGTGTTTTTCATAATTTCTTTCTTCTTCTCCCTTTTGTTGGGTTATTTGTATTCTTTAGAACTAGAACCTGTCACTTAGTTGGTAGATATCTGCCATTTGATATATAGTAAAGTCTTTAGAAATGCTAGACAGGCATTGTGGGCTAGGTGCTAATGAATACTAATTTTAGTAGGATGACCGAAGTTTTGCATCTCTCACAGAGACTAGCATCTCTCTGCCTAAAATCTGGATGGGCAGTTTATCTCAAGAGAATCTGGCCCTTAGACTGGTGGCTTAAAATATCCAAACTCACTTAATACTAAATTCCAAATCAGAATGTCAGTATTACAGTGAGAAATCCTTGCCAAAGTTCAGATTCTCCATTTGGCTTATTGGGGGATCCCTTTTCTGTAATTAAGGTCCATAGGTATTAATTAGCAGAAAGTTATGTGGTGAGTTTTAAAAATCTTTTCAATTTGTATTACAGAAGTTTTCAATCATATAAAAATAGAATATAATAATAAAAGCTCACATAACTATCACATAGCTTTAACAGTTATCAACACTGCCATTTTTATTTATCCCTTTTTCACTTTTTTTTGACTGAAGGATTTTTAAAGCAAATTCTAGGCATTTTATCATTTCATCCTTAAATACTTAAGTATGCTTTCTAGCAGATAAGGATTGTGCATGTTAACTGTAATATCATTATTTCACCCAACAAAATTAATTATTAATTCCTTAATATCATGTGATATCCAGTCCATGTTCAGTTGCCCTCTGTTCAGTTAAATTCTCTGAGTTAGTTTATGTGAATCAGAATCCAGAAAGTATACACGTTATATTTGATTCATGGATCCCAAGTTTCTTTTATAACAGCCCCCTCTCTTTTCCTCCATGCCATTTATTTGTTCAAGCAAGTGGGTTATATGCTCTACAGAATTTCCCACATTTTGGGTTTAGGTGACTATTCTCATGGTATCTTTTTAAAAAAAAATTTATGTATTAGAATGCATGCAAGAGGGGGAGAGAGAGAGCATAGGGGTGAGGGGCAGAGGGAGAGGGAGAAGCAGACTCTCCAGTAGGCAGGGAGCCTAATAGGGCTCGATCCCAGGACCCCAGGTTCATGACCTGAGCCATAGGCAGACACTTAACCTACTGAGCCACCAGATGCCCCTCTTGTGGTATCTTTTAACATGTATTTCTATCCCTTATGTTTTCTATAAACTGGTTGTTAGATTTAGAATCTTGATTAATTTTTTTAACTAAATTAATCGCCACTAATTTTTTTGACACAAGAATGTTTTATAAGTAGAACTATGTACTTAACCAGAGATACACAGTATCTGGTTGTTCCACTTTAGAGACCTAAAGACTTAGCAGTAAACTCAGGTGGTGGTAGCATGATCTATCCTATATAAAGTTCCTATCAGATTTTCACCTATTGAGGACATCATTTTTTACTGTAGATAGATTTCTCTTTAGATCTATTATATAAATTTTTATGACCAAGTAGCATTTTCTTTTCTGTATACTTTAAGAATCAGTTGGCAATTCTTGAGTGACTTTTTCTAAGATTTTCAGTACTTTTTTTTTTAAAGATTTTATTTATTTATTTGACAGAGAGAGCGATCACAAGTAGGCAGAGCAGCAGGCAGAGAGAGAGGGGAAGCAGGCTCCCTGCTGAGCAGAGAGCCTGATGCGTGGCTCAATCCCAGGACCCTGAGACCATGACCTGAGCCAAAGGCAGAGGCTTAACCCACTGAGCCACCCAGGTGCCCCTTCAGTACTATTTTTATAATTAGTTAGAGATGCTTGCTAGATGACCTGAAATTGTTCTTTTGACACCTTACAGATTATATCAACATGGTGTTTTAGGGTGGGCTTGAATAATATTTTTTCAATTTTTTTGATGAATAAGTCAGAATTCCCTATACATGGAAGTATAAATAGTATAAAATATTGACACCTTTCATATTAAGGGCTGTCCTTGAAGACAGCCTCCCTTAGTAGCTGCAAAACCCATTACAAAAGTGGGGTGGAACTTGAGAGCTCACTAGATTTTCCTTGTCTAAGCTATGCAGATCTTTTCTTTTGCCTTGCTTTATAATGTCACATTATTCTGGGAAATACAGTTAACTGATATAGAAGTCATACAAGTATTTTGCCAGCAATAAAGAGCAGACAAATTCCACATTATTTTTCATTTATTTCCTTTCAGCTTCCTTTTCTGTATTCTTGGAAAATGTCTTCAAGTTGTATTTAACCTTCATGAGGGCAGAGACCATGTCTGCCTCATTCATCATTTTTTTCCTTAAAGGCTTGGCATAATTACATGGCTCTAGAATAGACTTTATAAATATTAGTTGGATAAAAGGATTGATTTCTTTTTCATTATCTTCTCTGTTTAATAAGGAAAGTTTTATGTAGCTAATATGAGCAGTATTTCTTACCTTCTTATATCTTGGTATAAGGTTTTAGTAGTTGGATCTTCAGATCTTGGAATATCACTCTTACTTCTTCCTTAAAAGTTGCAGTGAAGGTCTTTGGTCATACTGCTCTTAAATGACTGAATATAGATACGTAATATTGTTAAAATACCACTACCATCTCTGCGGCATTCCCGTGGTACCCTGATAAAGTAATAACTAGCTTTTGTCTTGAGCCCTTGCAGTTGTGCTCCAATCCAAACACATTCTCAGTTACGTAGAAGTTTTGCCTGATAATCAAATGAGAACTCAAATTATAAACGTTAAGATATACTTAGATAAATTGCTATTTTTAATTGACTCTGGATTTTTTTTTCTGTTTGTATAAAAGTTGACTACTAGGTGTTCATCTTCTATATTTACTTAAAATTTAGTTACCTTACTATGTAACTACCTAATTAAAGCATGGACATTGCTGAACTCTGTAGGCGTTGGTTCAGAAATTAAAATACCTTACCCAGTATGCTATGGAGAGGTCACTCTTTCTCTTACTGCTGCTCTACGTTACTTGCTTTACCTATCTATGCTGACATTAGACTTCTTTACCTGCCTTTTACCTATATGACTTTTGAGAACAGCTTGCAAATGTTTCTAAATAATGCTATTTTATGTTTCCATCATGCCTACTAACCCTATCATATAACAGTAAAATGTTAAGCTGCCTATTTTACGTAATTATTTTCTATAATATTTAGTGTGCTTTGTATTATTAATCAACAGGATACAAATAGTTGGATTTTTGGCTGCATAAACAGCACTTCTATGTGGTAAGTCTTTTGAACCTAAGGGCCTCAATTGTTCATTTTTCTCAATATGAATAATACAAATCATACTTATTAAAGATTTATTTATTTTAGAGAGAGAGAGAGAAAGAGGGAAGCAGGGGTAATGGGGAGGGGCAAAGGGAGAAGGAGAGGGAGAGAATCTTAAGCAGACTCCTTGCTGTGCGCAGGGCCTGATATGGGGCTCAATCCCAATGACTCTGAGATCATGACCTGAACCAAAATCAAGAGCCTGAGCCACTCAGGCACTCCTAAATCACACTTTTTAGAAAGCTTCATACATTCTTAAGTTCATTTTGCTGCTACATTACATTATAATAGCATTGATTTTTTTGAATGAAAAATAAAGGAAATTAACATATCAGTAGTTATTTGCAAACATTGAAATGGTTTCTAGGAAAAACAATTTTTTTTTGTATCCAAAAGGACTGTATGGATAAGAGCATATTGGATTAAACTTACTGGACTTTGTCATTAGAACTTTCTCTGATAGGTCTGTAGGTGGTTACTTTTTCCTCTGAAGCTTATTTATAATTTATAATGTTTTAATACATTTGTCCTTTAATTAAATTTCATATTCACTTTGAAGCCAGCATGGGATTGATTTATCATGGAAAGCTGAACTGCTGCCAACAATCAAGGTAAATTGTGGCTTTAGAATTCTAATATTCAGGGGAAAAAATAATAAGAAATTCTTGTCTATAAGTATTTTAGAATATGGTCTTTTGTTAATTCATTTATCTATTAAATGAACTTGAGATTTGCTAACATAAAGTTTAAAAATATTTTCTCTGGAAATACATTTTAATGGAGAATAACATGCAGTGTTTTTCTTTAACGTGCAAAGATAACTAAGTTAACAGTCCTCTAAATAAAATTTAATCTGTATATTATAACATCATACCAAGAGCTAGATAAGTTTTTTAAAATTTATTTTGAGGGTATGTTTGGAATGATCTGTCTTAAAATAGAAGGGTAGTAGTTTGAGTTTGGGGGAGAGGACCTACAGTAGGAAAGCGAGCCTCTCAGAGAGATGCAAAGTAATTTTCTGGATCTATTTCAACATCACTTTGTGGTCAGATACTTGGATAACTCCACTTTATCTTGTACTCCATGGGATTTATTTAATAATTGTTCGTGATTTCCTTAAGTAACTCTGATAGGTCAGTAAGTCTTTTTATAAAACATTAATATCATTGAGAAAATAAATCAGTTCTTAAATTTGAGGAAAATACATGTTCTGATTTCTAAGTTGTGTTTATTATAACTCATAATCTTATACCAGGAGTGATAATTTTCAGTCTTCAAATATTTTTTCATGATGAATACTGGTCTCATAAACTTGAAAGTGAAGCCAGTCTGGTTGGTCTCAGTCATCTTCCAGTCCAGTTCAGTTATTTGTTATTTATCTGTATAGTCAACTCTGTACTATACTCACAGAGAGGAATGATGTTATAATGAATAATTGCAAGTTACTTCACACTAGATTCTGGAGTGGTTGCAGTTATATTTTCTGTCACCTCAGTCGTCCTTATTTTGTGTATATTCATTCATATAACTTTTGTATTCAAGAGATAAACATTGTGGGAAAGTGATTAGGTTCATATGAGCATTTTTAATGTCTGTCACTGATTCTATCCTAGCCTTTTAGGCAGGAGCAAAACAAACAAAAGTAGTACGATATACTTAATGATAATCATTCATAAATCTTTCCTTAAATTTCCAATTTCGATAGTATATCCTATCTAATCTATAAGAGTTAGGAAGAAATAAATGATTAAAATCCCGATAGAATGCTACTTTGCTCCTATTTTTAAAAAGTTACCTCTTAAATAATAAAATCCTTATGTATATTTTTAATCTCAAAGATTCAGCAGTGTATTAATCTAGTTCTAGACCCTGTGTTATTTGTTCTAGATGTAAGAAACAGCTGTCAGAACAGCAGAACAAGCTGTTCCAGCTGCTTATACTTTTTGTTTTTCCAAGATTTTATTTATTTCAGACAGAGTCTTAAGCAGGTTCCCCGCTAAGTGGGGTGCCTGATAACAGGTCTCGATCTCATGACCCTGCGATTATGACCTAGTCAAAACCAAGAGTCTGATGTGCAGATCATGACCTGAGCCAAAATCAAAAGTTGGACACTGAACTGACTGAGCCACCCTGGCACCCAGCTGCTGCTTGTTTTTTTTTTTTTCTTTTTTTTTTTTTTAAGATTTTACTTATTTATTTGACAGAGATCACAAGTAGGCAGAGAGGCAGAGAGAGAGAGAGGAAGGGAAGCAGGCTCCCTGCTGAGCAGAGAGCAATCCCAGGACCCTGGAATCCTGACCCAAGCCAAAGGCAGAGGCTTTAACACATTGAGCCACCCAGGAGCCCTGCTGCTTGCTTTTTATAGTGAATGCTGAAAGAGGTTGCCAGATAGCATTAAAAGCCTACTGAAATTTAGAGGGGGGAAGATGGGAGAAAGAGGTTTAGAAAATAAGGATTACAATATTCTGCAATCTTAGGTATTCATAGCGGAAGAGGATCATAATTAATAAACATAAATAAATTTCTCCATTTTAATGAAAATCAAAATTATATGTGTTAGCCACTTCTAAAAAGGACACAAAGTTATTTTGAAATCAAGTTGGAGAGAAAGAAAAGATTAAAGTAAGAAGATTTTATGAATTTTATTCATATTCATAACATTGCAACAAAAGTAGTGTCAGGTGACACTCAGATCACTCTTAGCATTGTTGTTGACTGAACTGTTAGTAAGTAGAAGACTCCAGCAAAGCACCTGTAAATTCAGTTTTTAAATACCAGTCATACGGAATTTTTCTGTCATGGGTACTGTGAAGAAGTTTATGAAAACAAAAAGCACAACAAGCCAGGAATTTGGTAAGCCAAAATGGATTTATTGTTGAAAACAAAAATTTATAAAGATAACTAACTGAAAAAAAAAAATAACTGATATGAGAAAACTACCTTGTTGCCATTTTGTCTTAATCATTTTAGTACCATAGTTTTGCTCTTTGCATCAAAACCTGGTGTTTGATTTCCTGTGTGTATTGTTTCATCATTAAGGGCATTTTACCCTTAAAACACTGAAAAATTTCCAAACTTCATATTAATCTTACCTGTCAATCTAACAAGTTCATGAATATGATTATATTGTCAAGTTCCTACTGACATTATAACTTTATAGGAACTTTATAAGGAAATTTTTTTGACACTGTTAACCTTTTTAAAGTATTCTGATCCTAACAAAATTCATGAGGAAAAAAAAGTATTTTTGAGAATAAATAACAAAGGCTAGTAGAGCGGATAGCCACACAGAGTAACCAAGGTTCTTTCTAGTTATCTTTCATAGTGTCTACCGGCTGTTCGTTGGTCTCAGTTGCCTGTCAGTGTCATTTGTGAGGGCCTTTTAAGGCCTTTTAATTTACATTAGAAGGGATTAAGTCTGTTGCTGAGGCTTTGGCAAGTAAGTTGAGGTGAAGCCTCCTAGGTTAGAAAACACTCCCGGTGGATCTGGTCAGGTTGTCAGCCACTGGCTCGTGTTTCTTCAGCTTCAGCACCTCTGTTCACCTTGCCCACACAGGTGTTCCTGAAGAACACTGGAGAAAGTTAACTGTCTGCAGAAATTTCTTTTTTTTTTTTTAAAGATTTTTATTTATTTATTTGACAGAGAGAGAGACACAGGGAGAGAGGGAACACAAGCAGAGGGAATGGGAGAGGGAGAAGCAGACTCCCGGTGAATCAGGGAGACCAGCGTGGGGCTCGATCCCAGGACCCTGGGATCATGACCTGAGCTGAAGGCAGACACTTAACGACTGAGCCACCCAGAAGCGCTGCATAAATTTCTTAATACATACAAATTGTTACCACATACAACTGCTGCCACCCCCATGTCTACTTCCAGAAAAAAAAAAAACAAAACCCTGGATTTAAAAAATGTATTTGGTGCTGTACCATTTCATTAAATAGACCAGTCTCTTTACTTATTCCTCAAAATACAGACTATGGGATCTGGTTTTAATTTTAAAGATAGATTTTTATTTTTTATTTTTTATTTATTTTTTTTAAAGATTTTATTTATTCATTTGACACAGAGAGATCACAAGTAGGCAGAGAGGCAGGCAGAGAGAGGGAGGGATGCAGGCTCCCCACTGAGCAGAGAGCCCGATGTGGGGCTCGATCCCAGGATCCTGAGATCATGACCTGAGCTGAAGGCAGAGGCTTAATCCACTGAGCCACCCAGGTGCCCCTATTTTTTATTTTTTATTTTATTTTTTTTTAAGATTTTATTTATTTATTTGACAGAGATCGCAAGTAGGCAGAGAGGCAGGCTCCCAAGGAGCCTGATGCGGGGCTTGATCCCAGGACCCTGGGATCATGACCTGAGCTGAAGGCAGAGGCTTTAACCCACTGAACCACCCAGGCGCCCCAAAGATAGATTTTTATTTGATAAGGTGCATTACTAGTTTTATTGTGTCTTCATGTCATTTACTGAGTGATTCCATGGGATGATAATCATATATATCATTAGACAGCAACTCTTTACTGCTTCAGCTACATCAGAATCATTTGAGATTAAGTTGTAACTCTCCATTATTTTTAGCATTCATTCATTCATCATCTATTGAATGCTCTTTGTTGTATGCTAGCTACCAAAATAAATGTAGAAATCTATTGTAATGTTATAAAAAGCAAATGGACAAATTATAAAAGATATCAAATCTGGAAATAATTATGTAAAATAATTATATGTAGTATTAAATGTCATTTGTTTTACATGAAGGGGTCAGTTCAACGAATATTTTTGGCAGTCCATATTTACAAAATGTTAGGAATTTGAGTTTAGGATTATTGATCTGAAAATGTAAACATGGGTATTTTTATGAGGTACTGAATATAAAGTGTGAAATCAGTTTTTTTATAACCAATTAATTAAGAAATAAGTATAATTTCTTTGAACATGTTTTAAGTTCTGTATACCGTTAGAAATAAAATCAGCTTTTTATGTCCTTTTTTTTCTTTTTTTTTTTTAGTCTGTGATGTTAAGACTTCAAGATTATCCATCTTTGTCTCATCTTGTTGTTTATGTACCATCTATTCATGGAAGTAAGGTAACAAATGGATTAAGGTTGTTATCAGAATGTTTAGTGGATACTCATGCTAAATTTTTGTTATTTTTTGATGAATTCTTTGACATAATGCTTATCTAAAACAGTGACCAGTTTGGTGAAGACTGTTAAATCATTAAGATCATCTACTCTAACTTGAACTAAGCAGAATAAACCCAAGCCTCTGTGTTCAAAGTGGGAACATACTTTATGTATTAATCTTACAAAATTATTGAGTACCCTTTTATGTGCAAGACTGTGTGCCAGGAATTATAGGAGGCAAACAAATGAGGAAGACATGAATCCTATTCTCAAAAAACTACATACTGTTGGGTAGGGGGAGAGAAGCATTTGGAAGCAGAGGGAAGAGTGAGAATAAAAAAGGTAGCCCAAAATATACTACAAATCAGAATATAGCAAATAAATGAAAGGTTTAAGAAGGGAAGATATCTTCTTAATTGTTTCTTTTTTTTTTCTGAACCTCTTTTTATCCCCCCCCCCCATGATTTGGGATCTCTTCTGATTTGGTTAAAGCGTATTTTCCTGGGGTCTTTGCCACCCTTTTAGTATTTTAGTTGCTCCTTCATATACTCTTATCTGGACAAAATGACAAGGCGGAAAAATTCACCACAAAAAAAAGAACAAGAGGCAGTACCGAAGGCTAGGGACCTAATCAATACAGACATTGGTAATATGTCAGATCTAGAATTCAGAATGACGATTCTCAAGGTTCTAGCTGGGCTTGAAAAAGGCATGGAAGATATTAGAGAAACCCTCTCGGGAGATATAAAAGCCCTTTCTGGAGAAATAAAAGAACTAAAATCTAACCAAGTTGAAATTTAAAAAGCTATTAATGAGGTGCAATAAAAAATGGAGGCTCTCACTGCTAGGATAAATGAGGCAGAAGAAAGAATTAGCGATGTAGAAGACCAAATGACAGAGAAAAAAGAAGCTGAGCAAAAGAGGGACAAACAGCTACTGGACCATGAGGGCAGAATTCGAGAGATAAGTGATACCATAAGACGAAACAACATTAGAATAATTGGGATTCCAGAAGAAGAAGAAAGAGAGAGGGGAGCAGAAGGTATATTGGAGAGAATTATTGGAGAGAATTCTCCCTAATATGGCAAAGGGAACAAGCATCAAAATCCAGGAGGTTCAGAGAACCCCCCTCAAAATCAGCAAGAATAGGTCCACACCCCGTCACATAATAGTAAAATTTACAAGTCTTAGTGACAAAGAGAAAATCCTGAAAGCAGCCTGGGAAAAGAAGTCTGACACATACAATGGTAAAAATATTAGATTAGTAGCAGACTTATCCACAGAGACCTGGCAGGCCAGAAAAGCTGGCATGATATATTCGGAGCACTAAACGAGAAAAACATGCAGCCAAGAATACTATATCCAGCTAGGCTATCATTGAAAATAGAAGGAGAGATAAAAAGCTTCCAGGACAAACAAAAACTGAAAGAATTTGCAAACACCAAACCAGCTCTACAGGAAATATTGAAAGGGGTCATCTAAGCAAAGACAGAGCCTAAAAGTAGTAGATCAGAAAGGAACAGAGACAATATACAGTAACAGTCACCTTACAGGCAATACAATGGCACTAAATTCATATCTCTCAATAGTTACCCTGAATGTTAATGGGCTAAATGCCCCAATCAAAAGACACAGGGTATCAGAATGGATAAAAAAACAAAACCCATCTATATGTTGCCTACAAGAAACTCATTTTAAACCCGAAGACACCTCCAGATTTAAAGTGAGACGGTGGAAAACCATTTACCATGCTAATGGACATCAGAAGAAAGCAAGGGTGGCAATCCTAATATCAGATCAATTAGATTTTAAGCCAAAGACTATAATAAGAGATGAGAAAGGACACTATATCATACTCAAAGGATCTGTCCAACGAGAAGATCTAACAATTTTAAATATCTATGCCCCTAATGTGGGAGCAGCCAAATATATAAACCAATTAATAACAAAATCAAAGAAACACATCAACAATAATACAATAATAGTAGGGGACTTTAACACTCCCCTCACTGAAATGGACAGATCATCCAAGCAAAAGATCAACAAGGAAATAAAGGCCTTAAATGACACACTGGACCAGATGGATATCACAGATATATTCAGAATATTCTATCCCAAAGCAACAGAATACACATTCTTCTCTAGTGCACATGGAACATTCTCCAGAATAGATCACATCCTGGGTCCTAAATCAGGTCTCAACTGGTATCAAAAGATTGGGATCATTCCCTGCATGTTTTCAGACCACAATGCTCTGAAGCTAGAACTCAATCACAAGAGGAAATTTGGAAAGAACCCAAATACATGGAGACTAAACAGCATCCTTCTAAAGAATGAATGGGTCAACCAGGAAATTAAAGAAGAGTTGAAAAAATTCATGGAAACAAATGATAATGAAAACACAACGGTTCAGAATCTGTGGGACACAACAAAGGCAGTCCTGAGAGGAAAATATATAGCCGTACAAGCCTTTCTCAAGAAACAAGAAAGGTCTCAGGTACACAACCTAACCCTACACCTAAAGGAGCTGGAGAAAGAACAAGAAAGAAACCCTAAACCCAGCAGGAGAAGAGAAATCATAAAGATCAGAGCAGAAATCAATGAAATAGAAACCAAAAAAACAATAGAACAAATCAACGAAACTAGGAGCTGGAGCTGGTTCTTTGAAAGAATTAATAAGATTGATAAACCCTTCGCCAGACTTATCAAAAAGAAAAGAGAAAGGACCCAAATAAATAAAATCATGAATGAAAGAGGAGAGATCACAACAAACTCCAAAGAAATACAGACAATTAAAAGAACATACTATGAGCAACTCTACGCCAACAAATTTGACAATCTGGAAGAAATGGATGCATTTCTAGAGACATATAAACTACCACAACTGAAGCAGGAAGAAACAGAAAACCTGAACAGACCCATAACCAGTAAGGAGATTGAAACAGTCATCAAAAATCTCCAAACAAACAAAAGCCCAGGGCCAGACGGCTTCCCAGGGTAATTCTACCAAACATTTAAAGAAGAACTAATTCCTATTCTGCTGAAACTGTTCCAAAAAATAGAAATGGAAGGAAAACTTCCAAACTCATTTTATGAGGCCAGCATCACCTTGATCCCAAAACCAGACAAGGATCCCATCAAAAAAGAGAACTACAGACCAATATCCTTGATGAACACAGATGCAAAAATTCTCACCAAAATACTAGCCAATAGGATTCAACAGTACATTAAAAGGATTATTCACCACGACCAAGTGGGATTTATTCCAGGGCTGCAAGTTTGGTTCAACATTCGCAAATCAATCAATGTGATACAACACATTAATAAAAGAAAGAACAAGAACCATATGATACTCTCCATAGATGCTGAAAAAGCATTTGACAAAGTACAGCATCCCTTCCTGATCAAAACTCTTCAAAGTGTAGGGATAGAGGGCACATACCTCAATATTATCAAAGCCATCTATGAAAAACCCACCGCAAATATCATTCTCAATGGAGGAAAACTGAAAGCTTTTCCGCTAAGGTCAGGAACACGGCAGGGATGTCCATTATCACCACTGCTATTCAACATAGTACTAGAAGTCCTAGCCTCAGCAATCAGACAACAAAAGGAAATTAAAGGCATCCAAATCGGCCAAGAAGAAGTCAAACTATCACTCTTCGCAGATGATATGATACTATATGTGGAAAACCCAAAAGACTCCACTCCAAAACTGCTAGAACTTGTACAGAAATTCAGTAAAGTGTCAGGTTATAAAATCAATGCACAGAAATCAGTTGCATTTCTCTACACCAACAACAAGACAGAAGAAAGAGAAATTAAGGAGTCAATCCCATTTACAATTGCACGCAAAACCATAAGATACCTAGGAATAAACCTAACCAAAGAGGCTAAGAATCTATACCCAGAAAACTATAAAGTACTCATGAAAGAAATTGAGGACGACACAAAGAAATGGAAAAATGTTCCATGCTCCTGGATTGGAAGAACAAATATTGTGAAAATGTCTATGCTACCTAAAGCAATCTACACATTTAATGCAATTCCTATCAAAATACCATCCATTTTTTTCTAAGAAATGGAACAAATAATCCTAAAATTTATATGGAACCAGAAAAGACCTCGAATAACCAAAGGAATATTGAAAAAGAAAGCCAAAGTTGGTGGCATCACAATTCCGGACTTCAAGCTCTATTACAAAGCTGTCATCATCAAGACAGCATGGTACTGGCACAAAAACAGACACCTAGATCAATGGAACAGAATAGAGAGCCCAGAAATAGACCCTCAACTCTGTGGTCAACTAACCTTCGACAAAGCAGGAAAGAATGTCCAATGGAAAAAAGACAGCCTCTTCAATAAATGGTGTTGGGAAAATTGGACAGCCACATGCAGAAACATGAAATTGGATCATTTCCTTACACCACACACAAAAATGGACTCAAAATGGATGAAGGACCTCAATGTGAGAAAGGAATCCATCAAAATCCTCGAGGAGAACACAGGCAGCAACCTCTTTGACCTCAGCCGCAGCAACATCTTCCTAGGAACATCTCCAAAGGGAAGGGAAGCAAGGGCAAAAATGAACTATTGGGATTTTATCAAGATCAAAAGCTGTTGCACAGCAAAGGAAACAGTTAACAAAACCAAAAGACAACTGACAGAATGGGAGAAGGTATTTGCAAACGACATATCAGATAAAGGGCTAGTGTCCAAAATCTATAAAGGATTTAGCAAACTCAACACCCAAAGAACAAATAATCCAATCAAGAAATGGGCAGAAGACATGAACAGACAATTCTGCAAAGAAGACATCCAGATGGCCAACAGACACATGAAAAAGTGCTCCCATATCACTCGGCATCAGGGAAATACAAATCAAAACCACAATGAGATACCACCTCACACCAGTCAGAATGGCTAAAATTAATAAGTCAGGAAATGACAGATGCTGGCGAGGATGTGGAGAAAGGGGAGCCCTCCTACACTGTTGGTGGGAATGCAAGCTGGTGCAACCACTCTGGAAAACATAATGGAGGTTCCTCAAAATGTTGAAAATCAAACTACCCTATGACACAGCAATTGCACTGCTGGGTATTTACCCAAAAGATACAAATGTAGTGATCCAAAGGGTCACGTGCACCCGAATGTTTATAGCAGCAATGTCTACAATAGCCAAACTATGGAAAGAACCTGGATGTCCATCCACAGATGAATGGATAAAGAAGAGGTGGTATATATACACAATGGAATACTATGCAGCCATCAAAAGAAATGAAATCTTGCCATTTGCGACAATGTGGATGGAACTAGAGGGTATCATGCTTAGTGAAATAAGTCAATCAGAGAAAGACAACTATCGTATGATCTCCCTGATATGAGGGAGAGGAGATGCAACATGGGGGGTTAAGGGGGTAGGAGAAGAGTAAATGAAACAAGATGGGATTGGGAGGGAGACAAACCATAAGTGACTCTTAATCTCACAAAACAAACTGAGGGTTGCTGGGGGGGGTGTTGAGAGAGGGGGGTGGGGTTATGGACATTGGGAGGGTATGTGCTATGGTGAGTGCTGTGAAGTGTGTAAACCTGGTGATTCACAGACTGTACCCCTGGGCATAAAAATATATTATAGATTTATAAAAAATTAAAAAAAAAAAAAAGAAGGGAAGAGATCTCTGAATGGTGGTATGAGGAAAGGCTTTGTTATGAGGTGATATTTTAAATTTCCTTAAAGGATAGTTAAAGTTTTATGCATGGCATAAACATTGTATACCTGTGCTATCCAGTATGGGAGCTACTGGCACATGTGGCTATTTAAATGAAAAGCAATTAAAACTAATAAAATTCAGCTCCTTAGTTATATTAGCTACATTCCAGGTGGTCATTAGTAAGAACACTACAGGAAGTTACAATGTCCAGCACTGCTGGGACAAAGACACCATGAGATCTAAGCATGGAAGTGTGAAAGTGTGAGATATATATGGAAACAGTGAATAAGTAAATAAGTAAATAGAAATTTTGAAAAGATGGCCACCATGGGAAGGATAATAGTGGAAGAAAAGTCTGGGAAAGTAGTTCATGGCCATACCCTCAAGGACCTCGATTAGAAGATATAGGACATCATAGAATTCAGGAGTTAGTAGGCAGCTGTAAGATTTTCACTATAGTAGAAGTGGGATCAGAGCCATTGTGGAAGATGAATCTGTTTATGGTGTGCATGGATTGATTAGAAACAGACGAGCTGCTGAATAAGGGGTTATGAGGGCTTGAAGTAGGGAAGTGGGAGTAGAAATAAAAGGTTGGTGATTTTTGAGAGAAGTTGTGGGAGAGGGAAGCAATAAGACAGAAGTAAAAACCTTCTACTTCCCTTTCCACATTTTACGTAACCAACTTATCTTTCAGTATCTATCCTAAGTGTTCCTGTTCTCCTTTTCATGACTCAACCAGATAACTTCTTACTTCCATGACAGTTTGTTTATAACTTCTTGGAGGAATTATGCTGAATTATAATTTATTTGTTTATCTCTCTATTACCATAACCATATTGTGAATTCTTTGGGATTAAGACCAGATAGATTTTATTCTACTGTGCATCCTCATCCTTTAGCAACTCACTACCATATAAGTGCTCAAAAAAATAGTTCTTTAATGAGAAAAGTGTCGAGATTTGAGGGCAAAATCATTAGGAAAATTTTAAAGACATAGGAAAAAGGGGATGTAGTTGGGAGTTAACGCAAAGACTGAATCTCACAAGTACCTTATAATGAATACATTGTTTTGTTTTGCTTAGCTCAAGTGAAAGGTAATTGAGCATCTTCAATTCTAAAAGCTCTCTTTAGGGGTTTTTCTGTCAGGTAAGTTGGTTTTCAATGAATTTAAACATCTTTCCCAAACCTGGAAAGGCCCTGTCTCGTTATTCCAAGAAACTAAAGAGCCTTTCACAAATAGCCAGCCTTAGCAGCCGAATGAATATTTAATATGTCTTAATGTTCTTTGGAAAGTAATACTTGCTGACTCTACTGTTGCATACCCAGTCTCACAAGGATGTTAATTTAGGCCTTTTATAATTTCTACATATCTGTTATAAGATATGTAGAATGGTTTCTCAGGATACATATATTTAAATAGATAGCTTGAAGATTTTTTGCAGTCAACTCATAATATAGTTTTCAAAATGCAAATACGAAATTACTTGCATTTTTTGATGACAGAAAACAAAATAATTCCATTAGAAGGAGACAGATCCTCGAATTTTTTTCTTGGGTATGGGTTTATTCCATAAAGGGAATAGCCAAATTTTTGAAGCAATAATAAAAATTGTATTATTTTAAATACCTATACAAAGTGATATAAAATTGATTCTCTGTCTCAGGCAATGTCTTACCCAAAAGTGCTTTGTAAAAATATAATGAATAGTCTTGTTCAGTAGATGATTGTTCTAACTTTGTAACAGCTGTTTTCTATAAGGAAAATGTCTGATGATATTGTTGGCCTTTTAAGTATAGAAGGGGGGATAAAAGCAAATCCCCTTAACAAGTTTTTCCTTTTATTCCTAATATGCGTACTGTAGTCAGATAGCATTTTCCCACATCTTTTTTTGACTTTCAGAAACAAAAAATCCACCAAGAGGCAAACACAATAACAATTGCTTCAAGCACAATCCAAGGTATACTTACTGGAAAAACCTAGGATAAACCTCATCGGCTTTCTGCTTCCTCTAGACAGCAGTGTACCTGCCAGCTGCAGTTTGGCAACACATTAATTGGTTCTTCAGCTCCTATAGGTCAAAGCAATTTGGTTTCCTTATGGAGATGATTCTGATGAAACCATTCTTACTGCAGTCTGCTTAGGGCAAAGTTCCTTATGCCATTGTAGAAATGTTATTACATAAGAAATGTCATTACTAAACATTGTCATAATGCACATGTCACATTTTAGTTTTTACTTTTTTTAAGATAGCATTTTTTTCGTGCTTTGTACATAGTAAACCTTTTTTCCATTTATTCTAATCACTGTTTAGCTTGAAATAATCTTATACAAATAACTTTAGCCATCTGTAGATAAATGGCAGTATGTCCATCTCCAAGTCTTTTGTAGTCTAATTAGAGTGTTGGAGATACATAATTAATATGGGATTTTTAAAAATTAAAATTCAAATTCATATTTCTTTTTTACTATGAAAATATTGATTTTTATCTAAATCTCTAATTAATCTTGAGTTAACCTTGATTCTTAATGCTTTGACCCATCCTTTAAAGTCCTTCTTCTATAACCACCTGAAATTAACTGGAAGGAAACTGGACTGTACATCAGCTGTTGTACAAATAATCCTCTAATAATTTATTAAGTTAAGCTTGTTCATCAAATTTTCTTAGCTTAATATCTCTCCTTGAGTAATTATTGCCATCTAAGTATAGCTAGAGTGAGAATGTAATAGGTAATAACTTCTCCAAAGCTGGTGTATTTATAGACTTTTATTTTCCACTCAAACATCAAGTGAAGGTATTTTACTATACATGTAATTCTATTTTTTTCTAAAAAAACAATGTTTTATATTTTAGTTTGTTGTAGATTGTGAATTCTTTAAAAAAGAGACACGATCCATTCAGCTTCCTGTAACTCATCTTTTTTCCTTTGGTAAGTACTTTGATTTTAGAAGCCTTAAGAATTTCTTTTTTTTCTTTTTTTTTTTTTTTAAAGTAGGCTCCACACCCAGCATGGAGCCCAGAACAGGGCTTGAACTCAGGACCCCAAAATCAAGACCTGAGCTGAGGTAACAGTTGAACGGTCAACCGACTGAGCCACCCAGGCATCCCAAGATTTAATTTTATTTTTAACAGAGTTCTTATTTATTTTGCCAGTCAGTTGCAATAATGAAGAGCCTGTAACTTTATATATTGTGTATTTCAAGTATAGTTCTTAGAATAACCATATCATGTGTTCCAGTGGTTTGATTGTTATTTTAATAGCGGGCTAGAGGTCATCTTCTGAGAAGTGAAATTTAACTTTCTCCCTGGTCATATACATTTGCAAGTAATCATGTGTGTCTGTGTGTGTGTGTGTGTGTGTGTGTGTGTGTGGTGGTGGTCTTCCATGAATTTACTGCATGTTGGCCCTTTTAATAAAACGTTTATTATAAGGTATAAATTGCTGTCTGCCCTATGGAAGTTTCAAGATTTCTCCAAATATTTTTCCCACTTTTTTTTTTTTAAGATTTTATTTATTTATTTGACAGACAGAGATCACAAGTAAGCAGAGAGGCAGGCAGAGAGGAGAGGGGAGAAGTAGGCTCCATGCTGACCAGAGCCAGATGCGGGGCTCGATCCCAGGACCCTGAGATCATGACCTGAGCTGAAGGTAGAGGCGTAACTCACTGAGCGCCCCCCCCCATTTTTTTTTTAATTGTGGTAAAATACATCTAACTAAATATGCCTTTAAATTTTATTTTGAAATAATTTTGAGCACTCAGAACAGTTACAGAATGAGCACGGGGTCCTATATCCTTCATTTACCTTAATGTAAAAAATGCAGTTGTCAAAACTAAGAAATTATTATTCATACAACATTGTTAACTAAATTACAGGCTTTGTTTGGTTTTCATCAGTTTTTCCACCAGTGTTCTCCACATTCCCACATTGCATTCAGTTGTCATGTCCTGTTCATCTCCTCTAATCTTTGAGAGTTCCTCAGTTTTTCCTTGTCTTTTATAATTTCGACATATTTTGAAAAGTACTTGTAAGCTATTTTGTAAAATATCAGATACTTGGATTTGTCTAATGCTTTCTTATGATTAGATTAAGGTTGTGCATTTTTAGCAAGCATATCACCAGAGCTATGTATACTTCTCATTGTATCCTATGGATGGACATATGATATCACTATGTCTAATTACTAATAATGTTAACCTTGATTACTTGGTTAAGGTAGTGTCTTCCAGGTTTCTCCCCTGTAAATTTATTTGTTTCCTGTTTGTATTGAATAAATGTCTTGGGGGAGCTACTTTGAGAATGTTTCAGTACCCTTTTATCTTCAAAATAACCCACTAATTTTAGCATCCATTGGTTCCTCTAGTCTGAGGCAGTTATTACTGGTATTCTGTATTTGTTGGAATTCTTATGAAAGGAAAGTTGTCCCTTCTCCATTTATTTACTTAGTCAAATTTTATTTATGTCTGTATGACTCATGGATATTTTTTCATTGGATTATAATTTAATATTATCATCTCATTTTTTTGCTTAAGTTGTTCCAGCTTTGGATATTGGGAGCTCATTTTAGGTTGGCTCCTTGCTCTTTTGACATGGCCTATCCTTAAAATATATATTTTTTAGTATTCCATTTATGAAAAAAATCTGTTACTTCAGAGCAGAAACTGTTTTAGATTTTTATCCCTCACCCACCTTTTGGTGGGGGGTAAGAAAGATACTCCGAACAATACAGAAATGACAAGTCTGAATCACTTATCTCATTAAAAATGAGATTAAAGGGGCGACTGGGTGACTCAGTGGGTTGAGCCTCTGCCTTTGGCTCAGGTCATGGTTTCGGGGTCCTGGGATCGAGTCCCGTTGGGCTCTCTGCTTGGTGGGAAGCCTGCTTCCCTCTTCTCTCTGACTGCCTTCTGCCTGCTAGTGATCTCACTCTCTCTCTGTCAAATGAATAAATAAAATCTTTAGAAAAAAAAAGATGAGATTAAAGACTTATAAAATGAAAGATCTACCAAGAAAGCATACCTGTTTGAAATTGAAAATATGTAGTTGATTTTTTAAAATACATATATTATAAATGTTGTCTGGAGTGTATTGAAAGAGGGTAGGATTTTTAGGAGTTCACCCCTCCATAAACAGAAATGAAAACCTATAAATTATTTTTTAATATTAAAAATGTATTAGCATTAGTTAAACACTGTTAAGCAATCAGTACTCTTTTAAAAACCGTTTGGTATTCTAAGTAATACAGTACTTTCAATTCAACAGGACTGTCTTCAAGGAAAGTGATTTTAAATACAAGTGGCCTGTTTTATAATATAGAACTTCTAAACTTTGGACAGGTAATTATCCTGATTATAACAAGGATTTGATTTTACTTCACTGTTTAGTTAAGCAAACAAAATAAACTTTTGTTTTTCTTGTTTTTGTTTTCATGGCCAAACTCTTATTAGATATACCAGGCTTTTAAAATCAACGTAGTAAGCAAGTGCTCAGGAGTCAAAGGTAAGTGTATTTCTGAGAAGAATAGTATTGGTCATTTGAAGAATCAATAGATCTTCACTTGAATTTTATATAATATTTATTTATTTATGTGAATTAAGATTAGATTATGATAGTAGAAAAGCTATATTTCCAAGAAATTTAATGTAGACCCTTTCTTAATACTAAGTATCTTCAACTGTATCAGTTTAAATACCTACATTTTTAAAATGCTATATATATTTTTCTATCTCATTATTAATAGTAATTCAGTTTAGCTATTTTACCAGTTTCTTAGTTTGCTCTAGTTTCCTAGTTTACCTAGGTTTTTTTTTTTACCTACTCTGCTCTAGTTTTCTAGTTTACCAGTTTCCATATACTCTAATATCTTTTGTAAGTCTAATTAAACATTATTCAATAATTCTTGGTAATTCTTTATATCATCTAAGTCTTACTGGTTATTTTTTATGAATGGGGAACTGGTAGTTAGGTATTGTATAGGTTTATAACACATATTTCCTTTATGTTTCCACAGAAGAAATAACTAGTATCTATAAACTTCATATTCCTTGGTCTTACGAAGATTCACTTACTATTGCTCAGTGAGTATATGAAAGAATTTATCTTAAACTTTGGCCATTTTGAATAGTACATATTCTTCTTAGTTTATTTAAATCATAGTGAAATTTTAATGAAACTATTTAAGTGCCTCTTAATAAAATGTACCTCTCCTTTAGGTAGCATTGTGTTCATAAGATAATATTATAAGACAATGTAGTATTCTTATCTAAATGATATATAACTTAAACTTTACTTGCTTGGAGCATTGACCCCTTCCTAGACTGTCCTCCAGTGCCTGTTCTAGATGATGGAGCATTCAAACAACTGTGATACAATCGAAAAAATGTCCATCTATAATAATGTCTCTGACATTTGTCTTCCTCTCCATTATTTCATTGTGCTGTCCGAGGATTGACTTAGCAATGGATATTTAACAGCATTTTGTATTTGAGAATTAATATTTAAGTTATCTTTTCAGGGTACCATCTTCCACAGAAATTTCTCTGAAACTCCACATTGCTCAACCAGAAAATGACAGCCATGTAGCATTATTAAAAATGTATACATCTTCAGACTGTCAGTACGAAGTAAGTTGCATGTTTGCTTAACTTTTAAGATTTAGTTATAGAATACACAGGAAATACATTTTTTTTAAAGATTTTATTTATTTATTTGACAGATCAGAAGTAGGCAGAGAGGCAGGCAGAGACAGAGAGACCGGGGGGAAACAGGCTCCCTGCTGAGCAGAAAGCCCTATATGGGGCTCGATCCCAGGATCCTGGAATCATGACCTGAGCCGAAGGCAGAGGCTTTAACCCACTGAGCCACCCAGGCACCAGGAAATACATTTTTATATTAACCATAGATATATGGCAATGTAGAAGCCAGTAAATACATGAAATGGACTTTTATGATGCTTTAAATATTCTCCATTTTGCCTGTCAACACCACCTCAGTATTTCCTCAGCTGGACCACTGAATGTATATGTCTTAATAAGTAATAGAAAATAAAATTGAGACTATAGATTAACCTTCTAAGTTTGGAGGCCCAAAGTTCAAAATTCTCTATAAATTGAAGAACATCATGAAATCAGCTGACATGGCTTTACTGCAGTAATTAATACGATATATGTTGGTTTCCACCTCTACTGGATAAGCGTAAGACTCTTCTTTCCTTTTCACTAGCTTTTTAAATCTCTGTTTGTCATTTATATGTGCAGTGTAGTATGCCTGCTGTGTTTGTTTTACTACTACAGTACGTCTCTGCTCCAAGAGAAGGGAGATAAACTTGATTAACACAACTTTTATGGATTCATGAACTACAAGAGTCTCTCTGTATCAGAACATCCCAGGTTCTAAGGATTCCAGATTTAAGAGACTATACATTTTAATGGTGATTTCTGGTTTATGTGAAATATCTTCATTCTATTCAGTTCCTTTAAACAACCTTAAATATTTGGGTTCTTCATTAGAATTAACTTGGGGTGGACTAGAATTGGTAGGTCAGACTGTACGTTGGCAACAAGTTTCATTGGACCTCAATTACGACTTATTTTGGATTTCATAGTATTTATTAATGCTTTAATATCTTTCTGTTTTTAACACTGAAGGATTTTGTAGGGCTATAATGGTTGTTAACGTGTGCCTTCATATTTCTAATAGTGATAGCAAAAATTCCATTAATAATTTGGCTACAAATACTGCACACTCAAAAATGTCCATGTTTTTATAAGTACTTTGTTTTTAAAAAGTAAGTATTTTGAAGTCATTTTATAATTTCTGTGTGAAATACGTATTTCCTTTTTCCAGACTTCTTAATATCAAAAAAGTGTATTTATAATAGAGATAATAATTGATTAATTTCTTTTTAAAATATTATTTTGGCTTAAATTTTATCAAATATGCTCTGTTTCTGGTCTTGTTTCCTATAAAACTTGTTTTTGTGAAATTTACTCAGAATTGCCTTAGCTTAACTGTACTTAGTGCTATACAGTTGTAGGTTTGAGACTTAAAATACTGGTTATGTAATAGGTTAATTTGTGTTTAATTGTTCAGCAAACATATGTATAGCTTCTGAATTCAGTCGTTCAGTCAAGTCCTTTAGCTTGAATCATGTGGTACTAAGATATTCTGGTTAATCAAATATCCTAGTTAGTTAAAGGGTTACTACCATAGCATTCATCCAGTTGTCAGAGAATTAGAATCCAGGAAAATATGCTGAACAATAAAACTACACTTAATACAAATTAAAATTTGTGGTTCAGAGGATTCTTATAATACCATAAATGAATTTAGATCATTCATTATTAAAAAAATTAATGATTATGTGTAGAGTTGTGCAGAAGTGCTTAGTTTAATAAAATGTGAGCTAGAAGGCTTTAGGAGAAATAACCTTTTTTTTTTTTTTAATGATTATTTTTAAACTAGGTGACAGTTAAGACTTCCTTTTCACAAATACTTGGACAGGTAAGTGATTCCTATTTGATTATAGATTGCCTTAATTATACTATAAGGCAAGGGTTGCAGACTTTTTTCTGGGAAGGTCCAGATAATAAAATATTTTAACAAACTAAATATGGTCTCTTGCTGCTGGAACTGTTGCAGCTGCTTCTTTCTTTTTCACTTTTCTCCTTTTCCTTCTTTTTCCCACTTCAATAAAATCCAACACTAATTCTTGGCAGATAAATCTTAGTTGGCCATGCCTGGCTTTAAGGTGATGCTTTCATTCCTAGAGATGAGAGCTGATTCCTGATTCTCAAATTAGTGTTTTTGGCTAATTGAATGTCATATTAAGATTTCATGTTGCACATACTATGCTATAATTCATAGTCCAGTAAAATTTGTAGGCTCTGTCATACAAACAAACATTTTCAAATAACTTTTTATGTTGTATGTGCTTAATCTGTAAAAATAAAAAGTAAATTTTATTAAAAATAAACATGTTGAAATACTTTAAATTTACTGTTACTGTAGTTCATAAGCAAATAGTGTTATAAAAATAATTTATTGAGGGTGCCTGGGTGACTCAGTGGGTTAAGCCACTGCCTTTGGCTCAAGTCATGATCCCAGAGTCCTAGGACCAAGTCCCATATGGGGCTTCCCTTGCTCTGCAGGGAACCTGATTCTCCTACTCCCTCTGCCTGCCAATTCCCTCTGCTTGTGCTCTCTCTCTCTGTTACTCAACATCATTATAATTTGCGGAATTGTATAACCTGGCATAAATAATAATATTAATTAGTCAAAAATTATATACTCATTTTAAAATTCACAAAAGTTTTATTGTGCCTTCTATTATTTTTTATTTTTTTGTTGTGGCATAGCATAGCAGAATTTTAAAAATTTAAGTCCTTTAACTGTAATTATAAAACTCACAAATCAAAATTAACCCAGAAATTCTTTTAATACTTTTTTTTAAAAGATTTTATTTATTTATTTGACAGAGATCACAAGTAGGCAGAGAGGCAGGCAGAGAAAGAGAGCGGGAAGCAGGCTCCCTGCTGAGCAGAGAACCCGATGTGGGGCTCAATCCCAGGACCTTGAGATCATGACCTGAGCTGAAGGCAGAGGCTTTAACCCACTGAGCCACTCAGGTGCCCCTAACCCAGAAATTTTTAATATTCATTATCTCATTTGATTCTCATAACAATCTGGTGAGAACTAGATTGTGATTATTATTAAATCTGTGAACATTAGAAAATTCTAAGTTCATATGTAAAATGTGCTACATTAGAAAGAGAAGATTAAACGGTATAAATTGGAAGAGTAGCACCATGGATAGTTACAATAAATTCTCTAGCTTGTTAAGGGAACTTTTTTAAGAAAAATTACAGGGGATGGGTGGGAAAAAAAAGAAAAATTTTGTCTTGGCATACAGAGGAAGAATTGATGCTATTGTATTTTTAGTATGTACAAAAGGCTTGTTACTGTATACAGTGGTACAGGCTGAAAATATAACATACTGTCTTTTCCATATCATCCCTAGGGCTCATAATTCAGAGTAGTGACAGGAAAAGTCAAGTTAGCTTGATACTTGATAGCCAAGCATAATTATATGTCCATCAAATAAGGACATACTAATATTCTTGTTAAGGCATGGAAATTTATCTAAAAAACAAAGATATATAGGTATTATGGGATCAAAGGTGGGTACTTTTTTAAATGCCAAAGAATTTGTGGTAATTAAGTCTTTCCCAAATTACTGAAAGATATGATGCTCTTCCTTCATGTTTATTTAAAAATTTAGCTTGAGAATGGGAGAATGAATTGATGTAGTATATATTATTCGTCTCTTAAAAATAATACATATTTTCAATGTTGCTGATTCAGTCAAAGAAGACTGAGAATAGGAATAAAGAGAAACAACTTGGGAGAATCTTTAGCCTTTGCTTAGTTAATTTTCCATCAAATTAGTTTTTCTTTCTTTCCTTTTTTTTTTTTTTCCAGAAAAAGGAAAGAAAAATATTTACATGTTCTTTAGTCTACTCTAATGAAAGAGGGCAAAGAATAAAGCTGAAATTACTTTCTCAAGAGAATTATAAAAACTAGTAAGTCATTTCTATATAGGAATGAAGACTAATATTGCTAAATCTTTAGATTTTAAGAGAAACTGGAAATCTAGAGTCTTAGATAAAACTTTTTAAATTTTTTAATGTTGGCATCTAATTTGAAATGTAAAGAAATACTGTGCCAAATACTAAACCAAATCAAGTGTCTACAATTTGAATATGTTGCATAGTAGCCTGTTTATGATTGTGGATTTTGTCATATATTATACGAGCTGTGACTGTAGCCCAGTAGAATAGTTAATACTCATAACAGTGATAGTCATTACAAGGAACTGCCATCTTCAGAATACTATATAGAAACTCCTAGAAGATTTCCAAAGACAGTGAAGAGTATTAAAGGTTAATAATAACAGCTATTTTCTGATCACCTACCTGTGCCAGTTACTGTGCCAAATGCTTTATACAACTGAACACATTTAAGCCTCAAACTCCCTGTGAGATAAGTGTTATTTATCTCCATTTTGTAAATAAAGGCACAGGGAGAAGGGGGGGTAAAGTAACATGTCCAAGGACACAGAGCTAGGGAGAGGCAGAGCTGTAATCTAAATCCAGAAGGCTGACTCTAAGCCTGCTATGCTGCTTAACTTCTGTACGGTTTTCTTTTCTTTTCTTTTTTTTTAATTATTTAGAAATTGTAATGCTTCTGATAACATTTCCTTATATAATAAAACTATTTAGACAATGTCATATCTAGATAGTATTCGATATATTTTTAAATGTAATATTTTTAAATTCAGTTTTGCTGTAAGAAAATAGTCACATCAAAATTCAGAAACACAATTGTTGTGGGGGAAAACCCCACTTTAGATTCTAGGCTTAAAAATTTAAATTATACATTGAGAAATCTATGTTACACATTTAAAAATGATGATGATGAAACTATTTATGGCTTTATTATTATACTAATTTGATATTGCCGCTATAAGAAATTGCCACAAACTTAGTGTTTTTACACAAATTCATTATCCTATAGTTCTGGAGATCAGAGGTTGAAAATGGGTTTCCAGTAAAGGTGTTAGTTTAGCAGGGTTGTGTTTCTTTTTTCTTTCTTCTTCTTCTTTTTTTTTTTTTTTTAGATTTTATTATTTATTCGACAGAGAGACAGAGAGGGCATGCAAGTAGGGGAAGTGAGAGAGGGAGAAGCAGGCATCCTGCCGAGCAGGAAGCCTGATGCGTGGCTCAGTCCCAGGACCCTGGGATCATGACCTGAGGCAAAGGCAGATGGTTAATGACTGAACCACCCAGGTGCCCAGGGTTGTGTTTCTTCTGGACACTCTGGGAAATCACGTTTGTTTGCCATTTCCAGCTTCTATAGGCTGCCTGCACTTCTTGACTTGTGGTCCCTTCCTTCCTCTTCAAACCCAGCAATGGCAAGTAGGGCCTTTCTTATATCAAATCACTGTGAATCTGACTCTTCTTCCTCTCTTTTCCTGCCTCCCAGGACCATTGGCATATAGTTGCTCATAATATGGTCTTATGATTGTATATTTTCTTTGGTGTTGATTGTGATCTTTCCTCTTTTATTCATGATTTTATTAATTTGGGTTCTTTCTCTTTTTGATAGGTCTGGCTAGGCGTTCAATCTTAAATTCTTTCAGAGAACCAGCTCCTAGTTTTGTTGATCTGTTCTACTGTTCTTTTGGTTTCTATTTCATTGATTTCTGTTGCTCTTTATTTAATTTCTCTTCTCCTGCTGGGTTTAGGCTTTTTTTTTTGCTGTTCTTTCTCCAGCTCCTTTAGGTGTAGGTAGGGTCAGGTTGTAGACTTGAGACCTTTCCTGTTTCTTGAGAAAGGCTTGGACCACCTTAGCTGCATCCCAAAGATTTTGAACAGTTGTGTTTTCATTTTCATTTGTTTCCATGAATTTTTTAAATTCTTCTTTAATTTCGTGGTTGACCCATTCATTCTTTAATAGGATACTCTTTAGCCTCCATGAATTTGAGTTCTTTCCAACTTTCCTCTTGTGATTGAGTACCTTTGTACTCTGTACCTTTTCAAAGCATTGTGGTCTGAAATTATGCAGAGAATGATCCCAGTCTTTTGGTACCATTTGAGACCTGATTTGTGACCCAGGATGTGATCTGTTCTGGAGAATGTTCCAAGTGCACTGGAGAAGAATGTGTACTCTGTTGCTTTGGGATGGTATGTTCTGAATATATCTGTGATGTCCATCTGGTCCAGTGTGTCATTTAAAGCCTTTATTTCCTTGTTGATCTTTTGCTTAGATGATCTGTCCATTTCAGTGAGGGGGGTGTTAAAGTCCCCTACTATTACTGTATAGCTGTTGATGTGTTTCTTTGATTTTGTTATTAATTCATTTATGTAATTGGCTGCTCCCATGTTAGGGGCATAGATATTTAAAAACAGATGTTTAAAATTGTTAGATCTTCTTGTTGGACAGAACCTTTAATTATGTATGATATAGTGTCCTTCCTCATCTCTTATTATAGTCTTTGGTTTAAAATCTAATTTGTCTGATATAAGGATTGCCACCCAGCTTTCTTCTGATGTCCATTAGAATGGTAAATGTTTTTCCACCCCCTCACTTTAAGTCTGGAGGTGCCTTTGGGTCTAAAATGGGTCTCTTGCAGACAGCCTGTTGGTGGGTCTTGCTTTTTTATTGAATCTGATACCTGTGTCTTTTGATTGGGGCATTTAGCCATTTACATTCAGGGTAATTCTTGAAAGATAAGAAATTAGGGCCATTGTATTGTTTGTAAGCTGACTGTTACTGTATATTGTCTCTGTTCCTTTCTGGTCTGTGTTACTTTTAGGCTCTTTCTTTGCTCAGAGGACCCCTTTCAATATTGTCTGTAGGGCTGGTTTTGTGTTCTTTCAAATTCTTTCAGTTTTTGTTTGTCTTGGAAGTTTTTTTTAAATTTCTCCTTCTATTTTCAGTGACAGCCTAGCTGGATATAGTTTTCTTGGCTGCATATTTTTCTCATTTAGTGCCTTGAATATATCATGCCAATCCATTCTGGCCTGTCAGGTCTCTGTGGATAGGTCTGCTGCCAATCTAATATTTCTACTGTTGTAGGTTACAGATCTCCTGTCCTGAGCTGCTTTCAGGAGTTTCTCTTTGTCTCTGAGCCTTGTAAGTTTTACTATTAGATGACAGGGTGTTGACCTATTTTTATTGATTTTGATGGGGAATTCTCTGTGCTTCCTGGATTTTGATGCCTGTTTCCTTCCCCAAATTAGAAAATTCTTTTTCCATAACAATTTGCTCCAGTATATCTTCTGCCCCTCTCTCTCTTTCTTCTTCTGGGATCCCAGTTATTCCGATATTGTTTTGTCTTATGGTATCATTTATCTCTCAAATTCTCACCTCGCGATCTAGTAGTTGTTTATCTCTCTTTTTCTCAGCTTCTTTATTCTTCATCATTTGGTCTTCTATATCACTAATTCTCTCTTCTGCCTCATGTATCCTTGCAGTTAGAACCTCCATTTTTTATTATACCTCATTAATAGCCTTTTTTATTTCAGTTTGGTTAGATTTTAGTTCTTTCATTTCTCCAGAAAGGGATTCTCTGGTATCTTCTATGCTTATATCAAGCCCAGCTAGTATCTTTATAATCGTCATTCTGAACTCTAGTTCCAACATCTTACTAATGTCCGTATTGATTATGTTTCTGGCAGTTAGTACTGCCTCTTGTTCTTTTTTTTGAGGTGAGTTTTCCCAGTTTGTCATTTTGTCCAGAGAAGAATAGATGAATGAGAGAACAAAATGCTAAAACAACCCCCAGAAAAATATACACTAAACAAATCAGAATAGACCCGAAAGGGCGGGGGGTGGGGGTGGGAGTAGAAAGGCAAAAAAAAAAAAAAAAAGAATATAATCAGGCTGGTGAATAGAACAGAGCAACACACTAGATTTTGGTCTTTAGAAGAAACTGCCTCCCAAAATTTAAAAAAAAAAATTTTATATATATACCAAAATAAGGGTAAATATGATGAAGGGATGGAATATGACTATAAAGATGAAAATTAAAGATTTTATAAAAGGAAGTGATAAGAAGTTGGTTGAAAAAAGAAAAAAGATTAAAAAGGAGAGAATGTGATCAGGCTGGAGACTAGGACAAAGCCATATACTAGATTTAGGATATATTTTGGTCTGTTGGAAGAAACTGTATCCCAAAATTTTAAAGAAAGAAAAACTTAAATAATTCAAAAAATAAGGTTAAATACAATGAAAGGATAGAATATAACTGTAAAAATGAAAATGAAAATGGATTTTAAAAAGGGAATTGATTAAGATGTTGTTTGAAAAAAGAAGAAAAGTTTTAAAAAATAGAAAAAGGAAAAAGAAAATTAAAAAAACTAACTTTGAAAGACCAAAGAATCATGGGGGAAAAGCCATGAATTCTATGTGCTACATTGCTCTAGCACTGGAGTTTTGCAGTTCTCATTGATTGGTAAACTTAGTCTTGGCTGAATGTTCTTGCTGATCTTCTGGAGGAGGGGCCTGTTGCAGTGATTCTCACATGTCTTTGCCTGATGCGGAATTGCACTGCCCTTGCCAGGGGCCAGGCTAAGCAATCTGCTCAGGTTTGCTCTCTGTACCTTTTGTCCCCTGAAAGCTTTCCATACAGCTTTGGAGGATGAGAACGAAAGTGGCGGCCTCCCAATCTCTGGTCTCAGAGGAGCTGAGAACTCAGGGCCCTCCTCCCCAGGGAGTCTTCAGAGAAAAGCAATCACTCCTGTCTCCTTGGTTTCCAGCCCCACTCCATGCTCACCTGGTCTGTGACCGAGCGTTTCTGTCTCTGGCACCCCCGCACCACTCCTCCTGGGGAGGAAGGGAAGTCTCCCTGGACCTGCTGCTTGTTGGGTCCCTGCTTGAAGAATAGTGGCCCAACTGTGCCATGGATTGTGGTTTAAGGCAGCCCTGAGCTGAGACCCCACTCTTCAGCTCCATCTTTGTAGCCAGCTTCTCTGCTCCGATACTTGGGACCTCTGCGCCTGAGCTCTACCCGGTCTTTCTGTGACCCTGAGAGTCCTGAGACCACACTGTCCCAGGGAGGATTCCACCCCCTGCTTAGCTACTGGAGCGACGTCCCTCAGTGGAGCAGACTTCTAAAAGTTCAGATTTTGTGCTCTGCTGCTCTTTCGCTTGCTGGTAGCTGGCTGATGGAAGCTCCCTGCCCCTGTGGTGTATCTTCCAAATTATTGCCTCAGATTCACTTCTCCACATGTCCTACCTTCTAGAAGGTGGCTACTTTTCTGTTCATAGAATTGCTGCTATTCTTTTCTTCACTCTACTGTTGAGTTTGTAGTAGTTCAGAATGGTTTGGTAACTATCTAGCTAAATTCCTGGGACCAGATGAAATTTAAGTCTCCTACTTCTCTACCATTTCTCCTCCCCCTCTCCTTTTTTTTTTTTTTTTTAAGATTTTATTTACTTATTAGACAGAGATCACAAGTAGGCAGAGAGAGAGCGGGGAGAAGCAGGCCCCCTGCTGAGCAGAGAGCCCTATGCAGAACTTGATCCCAGGATCCTGGGATCATGACCTGAGCCAAAGGCAGAGGCTTAACCCACTGAGCCACCCAGGCACCCCTCCTTTTTTCTTTTTTAAGATTTATTTGAGAGCTCAAGTGTGTGCAGCGCACGCATACACACACAGGAGAGAACCTCAAGCAGACTCCCTGCTAAGTGGGGATCCCCCCCCCCAATGAGGGACTCCACCTCGGCTCAACCCCATGTCCCTTGAGATCATGACCTGAGTCAAAATCAGTCAGATTCTTAACCAGCGAGCCACCCAGGCACCCCTATTTCTGTACTCTTGATAACTAAAGTATGCTATATGTTTTCTACCAGGTCATTAGCAGGCATTGAGTATCATTTAATTTTTAAAACTTTATAGCTAAAAAATGCTAACCATTATTTGAGCTTTCCATGAGTCATAATCAGTCATTGTAGATTATAATAACAAATACAATAATGAAAACACTTGAAATATTGCAAGGATTCTCAAAGTATGACACAGAGTGAGCAGATGCTATTGGAAAAATGGCACCAATAGACTTGTTCAATGCCAGTTGCCACAAATGTTCAATTTGTAAAAAATTCAATTATCTCCAAAGTGCAGTGAAGCAAAAACAATAAAATGAGGTATGCTTGTAATAGCAGCTAATATTTTGTGATAGCTGAACATGTTTGAGTTAATACTGTAAATGCTTTACACAAGTGAACATCCTTAAACTTTAAAATCACCTATAAGGTAAGTACCATATTGTCCCCGTTTTATTGATGAGGACAATAAGAGTTAATGAGAAACTTGTTTGTCTATTAACTTTTTTTTTTTTTTTTTAAGAGTGTGCATGCATGCAAGGGACAGAGGGAAAGGGGAAGAGAGAATCTCAGTCATGCTCCATGCCAAGCGTGGAGCCTGACACCGGGCTTGATCACATCACCCTGAAATTATGACCTGAGCCAAAATCAAGAGTTGGATGCTTAACCATCTAAGCCACCCAGGTTCCCCTACTTGTCTATTAGGTTTTTAATTGTGCAAGTTTTGGGCTCCCTGTGCCTGAATTTCTTCATCTGTAAAATAGGGATAAGAATTACCTCAAAGGATTTTGGGAGGAGAGAATGAGATAATGCATATAAAATGTTTAGTATCATGCCTGGACTGTATTAAATGCTCAATAAATGTACCTTGTTAAAAAAAGTCTGTAGTATATGCTACTCTACTGCATATTTTTTTTGTTGCACCTTTATGAAAAATTCTGATTACATGTTTCTAACATACTGTATATTCTTGATATTTATTTTACTTACAGTTTTGATACCCATTACTGGAGGTACCTCTGTGGCCATGTCAGGGAAAATATAAAGTGAAGAAAGACACTTTTATTTCATGTGAAAGTACATTAATTTCATTAACATGAATATTCAGAAGTTGCCCTTTGATTTGCCTGTTTTCTAGATAGTTAGATTTCACGGTGGAGCTCTTCCTGCTTATGTTACATCTAGTATCCTTCTTGCTTATGGAGGACAGTTATATTCTCTTTTCTCAACAGGTAAGAATGTTTCTATTCCTCCTCTCCATCTCTCTCCACCCCTTTTCACCAAAGTTCTTCATTACTACTTATTTGTCCCTCATGTGGCTGAATTCATGACCCATCTCTCCAGTTCACAGGCATTTCAGATCCTCTGGTTTTAGGAGATCCCCAAGAAGATTCCTTACTTAGCTTTTCCATTTTACACTTTAGTGCCTGAAGTTTTTTCCCTTTATTCTGAGGATATCTTAAGAGGTAGAGTCTCCTTGACGGGGATCTTGTTCCCCATTCCACCCCTAGTACCTAATGTAGTGTTAAGCACATAGTAGGCATTCATTGTAATGTTTGGGCTGTTCCACTACATCAGTTAGGTCCTGCATGGAATAACTGAGAGTTTATTTTAATGAAGAGACTATTTCAAAGGTATGGGTAGGGTTAAGAGAAACCAACAAGAAATGATTAAGTGCCGGGTTAGCAGTAGAGCTGTCTGATAACTCCTCGTTTTCAGGGCAAGGGAGTGAGCAAGCCTGGAGGGCTGTAGTGGAGGGCAGCATTACTACAGCTGTAGCCACTGTCAAGCTGTGGCTCAGCAGGGGGAAAAGACAGGGAAATACATATACGAACCTTATTTCCTCTTATCAGTGCCTATCATTCATTGCACCTAAGTCAGCCTCCCAGAGTTCAGAACAAAGTAAGGGTGGAGAATGAATCTGGAGGTCCAGATTAGAATATACACTGCATTGGACAAAACCTTTCCTAGAGGATAGCAATGAAAATAGTTTCCCAGGAGCCTGCTTTATAGAGCCCTCACACATTGTTGGGCTTGGGTTGTAATGAAGGGAGACGAGATAGGAAAAGACAGTGGATCAAAATACATAAAAATAGTCCAGAAATATTCCTATCATTTCCTCTTGCCAAATCCTTCTGCAGCTACTGATTTCCTTTCGATGGCTTACAATTTCAAGTCTGCCTTTAGTATTCATTTTAACGTTCATATGCTGCTTTTGGGAATGTGAAATGGTATAGATGCTTTGGAAAGTAGGTTGGCAGTTACTCTGTGACTCAGGAACTGTACTCCTAGGTATATATCCAAGAAAAATGTGAACAGATACCCACACTAAACTTGTGCACACATGTTCACAGAAGCACTATTCATATCCAAAAAAGCAGAAACAACCCAAGTATCCATCAGCTGATAAACACATAACTAAAGTGTGCTGACACCTGCTACCACATGGATGAATCTTGGAAACACGCCAAATAAAAGGAGCCAGTCACAAAGGACTGTACATTATATGGTTTTGTTTATAGGAAATGTTAAGAATAGGCCTGTCTGTAGAAACAGAAAGTAAGTAAGTTGTTCCCTGGGAGCAGGGAGACATTGCAGGTGACAGTTAAGGAGAACAAGTTTGTTTTGGGAGTAATGAAAATGTTCTGAGACTGATTGTGGTGATGAAGACATAACTGTGAATATACTTAAAACCACTAAATTGTGTGTACTTTGAATGAATTGTGTGGTATGAGAATTACATCTCAGTTAAGTTGTTTTTTTAAAAAAATCATGTTTGGAGCTTTGTGAAAATGCAAATGGTGAAACCCCAGCTTTGCCTTCCTGAAGTTGTTTCAGAAGTGATTGTGTACTCTTACGTATGATCTATTGAGTTATAGTAATTTCTAATCTGTGAAGAGAGTCTTTATGATAATTGTGACCCTTGCTTTCTCTGACATGAAATATGTTGCTCTTACAATGCAGTCAGTGTATAATATGACTCATAATTACTGTGAATTCTTCACTACACATAATTTTTTTTTTAATCACCAGGTCATTGCTTAGAATATGCTACCATGTTGGATAAAGAAGCCAAGCCATACAAAGTTGATCCTTTTGTAATTATGATTAAGTTTCTGTTGGGGTAAGTTTTATTATCTGTGATAATGATTTTAATTATTTTATATATATGAAACATGTTTAATTATTTATATATATGAAACATGTTTATTTATATATATGAAACATGTTTCATATATATAATAGGGGCATACATATATAAGGGCATAGTATGCCCCATGATGATATATAAATACTCATACAAATACAGCAATTGTCTTATTTTATTAAATGGCATTTTTAGGCAGAGTCCTAACAGGTATATCAACATTTACTTTGATATTATAACCATTTCAAAAGTAATTATAGATTTATATATATATATACATATATATATATATCAGTTATAGAAACTTAATCTGTAAATACCAAACTTCTTAAATTTACAAAGGGATACATATGGTCCATAATTTTTGAGTATCTCAAATTCATGAGTGCAAACCATTATAGGATATTTGTGTAACAGTGCTTCAGATTACTTTTTCTTCCCATACAAAGTGTATTTTGGATCTCTACCACACTTAGCATTCCATTTTTAATTTATTCTTATTTTGTGTTTTTTGCTTAGAACCAGTATACATTAGATCTCTTTTTGTTAGTTATTACAATTAGCTGTTGGTATTCTAACTTAAAAAAAAAGACAACTTATTTATTACAAGGAACAGCATTGATACTCAGGGCTCAGATCCTTGAAGATCAGTAGACTTACTTGGAAGATAAATAACTTTTTCTCTACAAGGAATTGAAATTGGTTTTTCAGTATAAGTACACATTGAGTATCATGAAACTTAGGGGACTCTAATGAATGGCCAGATACCTCAGATATTAAATATTTGAATGTCAGTTGTTGATTTTTATTATTTATTTATTTATTGTATGTTTTCTTTTATCCACAGATATAAATGGTTTAAGGAGTTGTGGGATGTGTTAATGTTACCACAATTAGATGCCATCATTTTAACTAGTCAGAGTATGTGTTTCCCCCTTGTATCCTTGATTCTCTTTCTGTTTGGAACATGTACTGCCTACTGGGGTGGCCTACTGTCTTCTGCATCTGTGAGACTCCTTTCTTCATTGTGGCTAGCTTTGAAAAGGTAAAGAATGACTGAAAGCTTTCTTATTGCTCTTAAGGAAAAAATGTATTTTGATAGGGAACCTCAAAATTAGTTGGCTTAGAAACTCTAATTTCTAAGGAAAGAAACCTTAGAAAGGAAAGAAGTTCACTTCTTCTAGAAAAACTAGAAAAACATGGGTTAGTGTTCAAAGTTATATCTTTGTTGAAGATAATCATTCAGGGGCACCTGGCTGGCTCAGCCAGAGGAGCGTGCAAGTCTTGATCTAGGGATCATGAGTTTGAGCCCTACGTTGGCATAGAGATTACTGAATTAAATAAAAACTTTTATTTAAAAAAAGATAATCATTTATTGCGTGTTAAATGCTGTTTGAGTTAATGCCAAAAAAAAACATTTGACAGAGGGATGCCTTACTGGCTCAGTCAGTAGACCATCTGACTTTTGAACTCAGGGTCATGAATTTGAGCCCAGCATGGGGAGTAGACATTACTTTAAAAAGTGATAGATTACAGAATTATTTTTAATTTTTATGATTGTAAATCTTTTGAAGGAAGAAATATTTCTCTGGCAATGCTTTTATATGTTGACTTCCAGTCAAACCTGAGAGCAAGAGAATTCCAGTCAAGATACTTAAGGTCAGATTAGATGAAATGCAAAAAAAATTCCAAAACATTGCCTAGAGTTTTATTTTGGATCCAAAGACAAAGTTTGAAGCTACTGGTAGGCTTTTCTGGTAAACCACTGACCTTAATTTCTCTTGCCTCTGCTCCTCACCGGACATGTTACATGATTTACTGTCATAGAGGGGGTTGTGGTGTGATGCTTCTTCCTTCACCCTTCTGAGGTGCTTCTGACACTAATAGCATCATAAGTCTGAGTGATCTCGAGACTTTAAGAAATAGAAAACTGTTTTTCCTCCTATCAAGATAGAAAATATATTGACACAGGGCCTATAATTAATGATTATTTTTAGCAGCATTTTTTCTAACTTAGTACAAATATCAGCCATACTGTATCTAAATGAAAGAGGAGCTGTCACAATGTATTACAGAATATACGAATATATGTCATCCCTTGCCTTTATGAAGAAATATTTTACTGCTTACCTTGTGATACTTGCATATTAATAAGCAGGAGAGCCTGGCAGAGTACTGTATTGTTTTCTTTCTAAATATGACTGTATAAACAACTGTTAATATTCTTTTAATAGCTTTATTCTTGTTTTTTTCCAGGCCCTCTGAACTTCCTAAAGATATCAAAATGATATCAGCAGATTTGCCCTTTTTGACAATTGTTTTGATCATAGTAGGTTGGACAACTTGTGGAGCTTTTGCCATACTGCTTACTTATCTTTATTATGTGTTTAAGGTATGTCACATCACTGAAGTCAGAATAACTAGGCTTTGTGACAGGCAGACATAGAATTTCCCGTAGGTGTTGTTAACAAAAATTTTAACTATAGCTGTAGTAACCTGTTATTTAAGGTTTAAGTGTAGAAGGTTTTTTTAAACATCTTAGTTATTTAAAATATATGGTTAACTGCGGAGCTGAAATTATTAATCTGAGTTCAGTTAGTAAAAACAAAATAAGGGGAGAATATATAATCTGTTTCACATTGCTTCTTGCTCTTGCAAGTAGTATCAACTTTTTAAAAAGCATTTTACTAGAGCAGTTTTTATTTATACCTTCTTTTGAACAAGGGTAATAGACAAAAAGTTATGTCACTGGGATCAAGCTATCAATTGTGCTGACATAATGTAGAATGTTACAGATGTTGCTAGAGAATCAGGAGACAAAAATAATTAGCCTAATAATTTTACTGAGGAAGTGAAAAACTTCCAAAAAGGCTGATAGCAGGAAAATCTAGGTTATACAAGTACATACTCTCCACATTAAACTTAGGTAGAGACAGTTGATACCAGAATGGATAATCATTTTCTTTTTTAAACAATGGTTTATTTACATCTGCTTTTAACACTAATATATGCACATTATATATTCTCTTTTCCAATGGAATTTATGTCCATCAGAAAAATCTATTTACTACTTTGATTTATAAATATGATATTTTAGCTTTTTAAATTGGCAATTTCAAATAATCGACCCAATGAGCAAAACTGTCTAAATACTAAACTGGCTAAATACTTAGCCATAAGCAAACCTAACAAATTAAACCTAAAGATTTTCTGAGGTTCTTGTACGCATTTCACCATATATAATTGAGTTCAGATTTTCAAAAATTGAGAATAGATAAGACATGTTTAATTCTTTATACTATACTGAAGATAATCAAATATTTTACTCACAGGACGCTAAGTTATTGGAGCAAAGCATATTTAAACATAGGTTCTCAGAATCTAGAAGGTATAATAATATATCACACTCTGAAAGTTTTATTATTTTGTTTTTTAATCCTTAATAGCAAGTTTGTGTAGTTATTATTTACCTTTTCTGAAAGAATATTTGTTTGCTTGTTTTTTAAGGTTTTATTTATTTGACAGAGATCACAAGCAGGCAGAGAGGCAGGCAGAGAGAGAGGAGGAAGCAGGCTTCCTGCTGAGCAGATAGCCCAATGCGGGGCTCCATCCCAGGACCCTGGGATCATGACCTGAGCTGAAGGCAGAGGCTTTAACCCACTGAGCTACCCAGGAACCCTGAAAGAATATTTGTAAAAGTTTAAATGTATTTTTAATTAGATTTCTTTACATTTCAGATGACAGTGTTTCTCAGTTGTAATAAAAATGGTTGTTTTTTTGTTTCAAAGTAAAAGTGAAATTAAACAGTTTTTTTCTTTTTTCCTAGATTGTTCATCTGCAAGCCAGCCTAACAATGTACAAAAATAGCCGGACTGTGGTAAGTTTTATTTTCAAAACTCTACATCACTTTAATATAAAAGAACATGGGGAAATAAAGTTTTTTTTAAGTTAGGATTTTACGGTGTATAAAAAAGGTGTCATGAATTTAAGTTAACTTTAAAAAAATTGAACCTATTTAGATTGTCTAATTTTGTTGTTGTTGTTGTTGTTGTTAAAGAGAGTAAGCATGTGGTGGGGGGGCAGGGAGTGGTAAAAGGGAGGAGCAAAGGGAGAGGGAGAGAGAATCTCAAGCCTCAAGAACCCAACTCCCCCAATGCAGGGCTTGATTTCACAACACTAAGATCATGACCTGAGCCAAAGTAAAGAGTGCAGTGCTTAACCAGCTGAGCCACCCAGGTGCCCCTGTCTAATTTTAATTTGATCTTTATCAGTATTTATGTCATGTTTATTGTTACAAATTATCTCTTAAATTTTAAGTAATTACTTAGAGGATATAGTCTCAGCAATGGAAATAGCAAGTCAGGGGATGAAAATTTTATAACGAATAACTGCTTTAAATTACATTGAGCAAGGTAATTTCAATATTTTATTTCAGTTTGGTTAGAAAGATGTGGTTATTTAGCTATTACATAATTGAGTATGATTGAGTAAAATAATAAACCTAAATTTTAATATCTTAGTAATTTTACTATATTGCTTTATAGAATCCCAAACACTCTAGAAGAAGTGAAAAAAAATCAAATCATCATAAAGACTCTACAGTATACCATCTTCGTTTATCTGCCAATGATGCCGAAGATAGTCTTCGCATGCACAGTACTGTGATTAACTTATTAACATGGATTGTATTACTCAGCATGCCATCTTTAATTTATTGGTTAAAAAATCTCAGGTGTGTTTTATTTGTATAATTGTAATTTATATGCTTCAAACAATAAATATCTGTAAGTAGAAATTTATCAGATTTCTAATGATCCATAAAACTTGCTCAAGAATAGGAAGCTATATATAGCTCCTGAAATTTATTTTGAATATATGCACATTTTTCCCTTACTGTGAGAATATAAACTTCCTCAAAATCTGACTAAAAGAGGGAAGTTGTATTTTATTATTTTACCTTTAATCTTCTGTGAGTCTAGATATTATGTAAAAATGTGCATTTTGTTTTGTTGACTTAAAGTACTCATAATGCTTAGTGCTTAGGTATTTTTCAATTTATGATCAATTTTATGTTTTCTTAAATTTGGAAGGAAGAAAATGCTTACATTTAAAAAGATTAGAAGTAATGAAAAAAAAAGGTGTAGTTTTCTATTTGAATATCAAACATTGAACTAAAGTAAATGACCAGCTATTTTACCACTGAAAACCATTTTTGCCTTATCACGTGATAATTATTTTAGGTTAAATCAGAGTGTGAAAATGCCCTCTAAGATTATTTCTAGAATATTTAGTTATTGGTAAGTATTTTTAAAAAAGCCTACCTTATCCAAGTAATAACTGATCCCCTACTCAATATGGTTTTCAGAAATAATATAAAAATTTCAAATTATCTAAATACTGGAAATATTTTTTTCAAAAGCCAAGTAAGTTTGATAAATTAGATCAACAGATTATGAGATGTTAATATCCTTCCTTTGTCCCTCATTTTAGTCAAGATCAGATTTTTGTTCACAAGTTTGGGGAGAAATTACTTGAGGAGTACGAATTTATGATTCTGAAAAGCTATAGATGCCTCACTGTCCATAAAGGCCAGAGATGAGAATTTGTGGATTTTTAAAACTAGGGACAGTTGCTTTATGTAAACCTTCATTGTTTTTCATTGTTTTTTGTTTTGTTTTTTTACTAGAGCAGACTTAATGTATTTTAAATAATTTGTTTTAATAAAAACATTTCTACATGAGGTTTCAGGCATATACCTGTGATTAAAAGGAAGTGCTTCCATATTGGATATTTTCATTTCCTTTAGTAGTTTCTGAACATAGTTCTCCATATAAAACTTCAGGTATAAAGATGATCTGTAGCAAAGTTATTTGCCAAAGATTTCATGAGCTATTTAGAGCTCTCCTATCTACGAAATGTTTTGAAATTACATTAATTTGATTCTGGTATTTAAAATGATTAGGTGTGCTTTGTTGATTTATGAGGGTTTTTTCTCTTTGGTATAGGTATTACTTTAAACTTAATCCTGATCCATGTAAACCTTTGGCATTTATCCTTATTCCAACTATGGCAGTTCTTGGAAATACTCACACTGTTTCAATAAGATCCAGGTATAATAGTTTAATCTTTGTTTTTCTCACATTTTTTTCCTAGTCTTAACAGATCTTCTTTTATATCTGAAATGTGTTCTTTATAGCTCAATATTTTGACTGTGTCCAAATATTTGACTAAATATTATGTCTAAATATTTTGAGATGTATTCCTAAAGCTAAAGCTGTAATCGTATAGTAAGTATGGTTTGTGTGCAGGTATAATTTATATGGAAGCATATTTTATTTGTTTTCTTAATTGTGGGTTTTACTTGTTAGGATAGAATAACTTTTTTTTTAATTTAGCTCTTACAAGATATGATGACTAATAAAATTTGTCTCCAGAAAGTACAGGAGTGAAGTGAATAGGATTATAGATGAAGAAAGATTGGCCATGACTTGATACTTTTTGAAGTAGGGTGATGAAGTTCATTATACTGTTAGTTCACTTACATATATGTTTAAAGTTCTCTATAATATTTGACTTTTCATTGACTGGTTTAGTTGTTTGTTCTAGGAACCTGTTTTCAGTTGATTTTGGCAGATGTTTGCAGATTTTCTAAAATAAAGCAGACCTGGGTTTTGAATCTTGGTTCTGCCATTTAATACCTCTATGTCCTTAGACAGATTTCTTAACCCCTCTTATCCTCAGTTTCTCTATTTTTTGAGTAAAAAGGTAATAGTCTTTTCTGATAGCATTTTTCTTTTAGAAAGATTTAGTGTCTTGTTCTAATATTATTTGTGTTAGGAATTAAGGGTTCCTTTTTTATTTGGTTAAGATTTTTGTTTTGTTTTGTTTGTTTGTTTGCTATTACAAGTAAGGTTAAAATAGTTCTGTAGCTATGTCCTAGTAAATATTGATTATTTTTAAAAGGATTAATCTTTAGTGGTAGAATTGCTGAATGAAAGTCCAACTAACATTTTTCTGTTGTCAAAATTTAAAAGACTAAACAAAGCTGATTATTTACTTAATAGAAATATTGTTCTCTAGCTAAAATGTGGCTTGTATTGATCTTTTTAAAAATTATGGACAGTTAAATTCATTATATGAAAAATTCTAACATTACTTAGAACACCTTCTCAAAACTGTAAAAAAATCAACATATTCTGGTTTTGCCTACAATGTAGTTTACATAATGTATATTTTTCTGTTTCTTTACAGTAAATTGTTGAAGACTACTTCGCAGTTTCCACTTCCTCTGGCTGTTGGTATAATTGCTTTTGGGTCAGCACATTTATACAGGGTTCCATGCTTTGTTTTCATTCCTCTTTTACTCCATGCATTATGCAACTTTATATAAGACTGAATTTAAGGAATGATAAAAATAATTTATACATTTAGGGTCAGTAAGAAGAGGGAATGCACAGATTCATCAATGCGGACAGCAAGATCCTTTGGAGAAGACCAGTCTATTTTTACAATATTGAAAATAGGAAATTAGTTTTATAATGCTTGAGAAAAGTTGAAGCATGGTTTTGTTTTGTGGTATGGCATCCACCTACTAGTCATTTTTTTTTTAAATGAAAAAAAGGGTCTTGGCCACTTTATTGAGGATTTCTGCATATCAGCTATTCTGCTTGATTGGCCATAGTGGGGATCTTCTAAATACTCAGTAAATGTAGCATTGCTTGTAATCTCAACTCAAGCGTTCTCCTCATTTCATCAAACTTTTTCTGAAAAGTTGGTTTCTTTGTATTTGGTACAGCATGCATATTGAGAAACCAGTCTTAAAAGATGAATGAACAAGGAAAAGATCAATGAAATTCACAACTCTTTGGTTTCTCAAAAATGAAATAACCTCAGAGAGTCTTTGGCCAGTTTTTGGCAGCCACAGTGAACAAGGCAGATCTTTTGTTTTCTTACATCTGTGAAATACAACTTTTAATTTTAAGGAGACATGTTTTCTTGGTAACTAATGCAAGATTGGTGAACATAATTTAAACTCAAAACTTACTGAAATTTTCTCACTACTTTTCAAACACAGATCTTATTTTGTATTCTGGGTGAATATCAGGAGATTTAAAGAAATCTTTTGTTAAATTTAAAGAAAATTGTCCCAGATATTTACTTAATGTTGTTGGAGCAGTACAATTGTTCAGTATATACCATTTTATTTAATTCATTGACCGCATGGTTGCCAAAAGTGCCTCAGATCATGATGTATTTTTAAAATAACTAAATTCCAGTGGTCAGAAAAAACTCTAGGTTTGCACAGTTTCTGTCTTCTGTAGGAAAAAAAAGTCAGCATGATCAAGTGGTGGACCACATTTGATATGTAAAATTATACTATTAATGGAATAACCAACTGTTACACATTAATAGCATAAGTATAAATAGTATACTTAAATAAATTGGAGGTTTTAGCCACTAGTTTTAACAATGGCATATTAAGTTGCCACGGTGATTAGCTTGGTTTGACAGAAAAGAGAGGAATATTTCTATTTCATTTCAAACTTCAGCTCACTTTTAGCTACAGAAGAATAGGTAATAGAGCTAGGTATCTGCCTTAAGATAGAATAAACTTAGGCTGAGGTATACTTGGCTTATCCTTTAGATGTATATGCTCTACATACCCAAAACCATTTAAGTAAAGCCTGTAAATCCCAGTAATACTTGTGAACTTTTGTCCTTGTTAGTACCCAGAAATGTCCTAGGGTACCAGATCCGTTTTTTCAGCAATTGCATCTGGATTCCATTACAACCTCTCAGCTGTTACTGCTTGTGGAGGGTTACCCCCACTTCACTGCCTGGCGAGGGTTACCTCACTTTACTTCTCAGTTACTCCTCAGGCCCTTGCTCTTTTGTGGAGTTGAAGAGGATCTCCGTGTTATCTGTGAGGGTTTAATTTAATTTAATTTTTTAAAATTTAATTTTCTAAAATTAATTAAACTTAAATTAATTAAAGTTTAATTCCATTGTTGTCTCTCTCAGCCTCATGCCTGTTGTTCAGTATTTATATTTACACTTATGGAGATCATTAAAGGGGAGTGATAACCTCACAGTAGACAGGGCAGATATTTCAGGCTCTTGTTTGTTTGAGTGAGGTAGCACAAGGATAAAATACAAAATGCTTATTTGTTCGGTGTATGAAAGGAAAGAGTTTATTATACACTTGTCCCATGGCATACCACATGTGTATTTAAATGACGTATCTGCTTAATTTTACCTATTCATATATTCATAACTAAGTTTTAGATACATTGTATCTTTGGTTTTTTTTTACTGATATCGTTATATTTTTAAGTTATAGGTTAAATGTGTCGTTTAACTCTTTCTGAACTTATGTTTATATTCAAAAAGAACTTTAGAAAATTCATTAATTTCTATTTTCTATTGGCAGCCGCAGTCATTTTGGTTTTTTTTAATTAACATATAATGTATTATTTGTTTCAGGGGTACGGGTCTGTGATTCATCACTCTTAGGTGATTCACAGTGCTCACCATAGCACATACTCTCCCCACTGCCCATCACTCAGCCACCCCATCCCTCCCAATCCCCCCTCCCCTCCAGCAACCCTCAGTTTGTTTCCTGAGATTAATAAGAGTCTCTTACGGTTTGTCTCCCTCTCTGGTTTCATCTTGTTTCATTTTCCCTCTGTTCCCCTATAATCCTGTCTTGTTTCTCAAATTCCTCATATCAGAGAGATCATATGATAATTGTCTTTCTCTGATTGACTTCTCTTAGCATAATACCCTCCAGTTCCATCCATGTCGTTACACATGGCAAAAACAGTCATTGTGTTTATATGATTTAAAATCTCCTTGTTCAGTCAGTACTGCTCTTGAATAAAATGTAACAAGCTTAAATTTCTAATTTGTGAGTAGGAGATTAGCTTTTTAAAGCAGTAGACTAGGCACACTAATTCTCACTAAACAATTTTGATACGAGTGTAGTTATCAAGTCCTAAAGTCTCATTTGTTCCAACAGAATATTTCATTTTAGGGCTATAAAAAAGATTCAAATTAAACATTTAATAAACAACAGTAGGTTGGGTCTTTAGCCATCAAATACACACACACACACACACACACACACACACACACACACACTCACACATACACATTTTGACAGGGTGTTTATCAAGTCCTGATGCTCTTGAAGCCCAAATAACTACCAGATATGAGAAGGTAGGCTCTGTCTGAAGGTTAGGGAAATTGATGTTTCTGTCACTTGGGGAAAAAAATAGTCCTTCTGTCTTTAAATTATACATTGTTTCTACCATGCTTGCAACCTATATTATTAGCTGGCAAAACAGTACAGCTTTATTAGAAATGTTACTAAAAATTATTTACTGGCAGTTACAGGTTATTGAGTTCAACAAACTTCTGAGCTCAAGTGCTATAACATTTTTATTTAGAATTTGGGTTTTGAGTGAGTTTTGTATTTTAAAAATTACTCTTGTACCCTATTGCTGATAATTAGATCCAATAGGAAAAATACTGAGTGATTTTAATGTTTCTAAAGCCTCAGTTGGAGTTACTAGTATAATTTGGAACTGATAATATGGTAGCAAACATTGACCGCTTTTTTCTGGATCTTTTTCATGCCAGAAATTAAATAGATTCTGCTAACTCTTTTCTTGGTTGTCACTAGAATGAAAATATTTAAAACAGTGTTCCCAAAAAGCCATTCATGCCTGGTTCACATTGATTTTGAGTTTCTTCAGTATATATTAATCATGTATTGAATAATCTTTAATTTTTTTTCATATTTTGGTCAGATAAATTCACATGTATCCAATGGAATACCTTTTCTTGACTGAACTACACTATGGTATCTACATGATTATATAGTAAGGAAAAATAAATATACTAGGCCTAGTAAATGTTTGTTGTTGATTATCCTATCACTCGTGCAGATGGTACACATTTCCACCATACACACATACTTAAATGAAGCAGATTATCTGGTTTGTTCATTATCTAGTTCTACACTCTTCCTAATGCTTCAGACTTGTCATTCATAGCATAGTATATTTATTTTACTTCACTGCTCATTAGCAACTCTTACACGTAGTAGCCAGGGGAAGTAAAAGGAGGGGAAATGGGAGAAACACAAAGATTATGGAATGAACTAGGGCTGTTGATTCCTGACTCCTCAGATAGTTTAGCTGACCTGTATTTTCATATTAGGCATTAGGTCTAAATTAGTGTAATGTCTTTATTAGGAAGTTTAGTGTAAAACTTTATAGTGCTGCACTTGCAAATTTAGTAACCTATTATTAAAATCAGTTGGGAAATTTTTTTTAATGTTATGACTCTCTATGACTAGGCATCTGTTGATTATCTTTTTGTCATCACTTTTTGTTTTCTCAGTGTTACATATCATAGGAAACTAGATACCATGTGAGGTTTTTCAGGGGGGGAGTCAATTTGGAGGGCATGATGCACTCCCACGAAGTAGTAAACATATTTTTGTATTACGTGGGGCACCTGGCTGGCTCAGTCCATGGAGCATGTGACTCTTGATCTGGGAGTTGTGAATTCAGGCCCCACTTTGGGTGTGAAGATTACTTAAAACCCTTAAAAAAAAAGAAAGAAAACTTCCTTGCCACATAAGGCAATGTAGAAGATACTTTTATGAAATAGATGATTAGGAGCTGAAATTTTATCTCACTCTTTTTGAACAAAGGACAGCATTTCAAAGTCTGCAGTGAACTTTATTTATACATAATACACGCATTCTTTCACAGTAAGTTTCAATAGCCTGAAGAAATAGGGAGTCTGTGAGGCTACTTGTGTACTTTACTTTTAATAAGGATAATAGGAAAGAAAAATCAAGTCAGTAATCCAGATCTGCATATGTGTACTGTAAGTGTTTAAGAATTCACATTTTTGTGTTGAATTATATTATGAATATAGAAGACTGACTTTGTATATTAGCAGTTTTAAGAACAGAAGAAAGTTTGGAAATAGTGAGAATAGACTAATTTATTTCATTAATAGTGTAAATGTAACAGTACACCTGAATCAATAATATGCGTCTTTCACAAGTTAAATGATACTCTAAGCTACATCCTGATTATATTGTCTACGGTTGAAAATTTTAAATCAAGTACAGGACTTTCTAATAGTGTTTGGTGTGTTATGCTGCCAAAAATGCCTATGGTTTGAAATGCCAAGTAACCAGTCAATTTCCAGTGACTTTGTATAGGATTTGATATATATGAGTCAAAATTCCTCTGTACCAATTCTGTACATTGTAGATTTGAATACTTGTAAAAAACTGTATTTGTTAAAGTATTTTGGTTAGTCTAAACTTATTTGCATATTTGAATTTTAGTCTTAATTTAGGAAGGCTAAAAAGTAGCCAGTTTTGTAAAGTTCATATACTATTTTTAATGTTATTTTTGTTTTTAGTATTTGTATTCTAGTAGTGTTACTAGTAAAAGATTTATAGACAAAGCATAGAACCGTTAACTGTTCATAAGCCAAAATTATAGGCATCTTTTATATTTCATGTTGCACTTATTTTGTTTCATATTGGACTTTTTACATCCCTTTTGCAGGAAAAAAACACATTTGGGCTTTTTTAGCATAAAACTCTGCATTGAAAAAATATAACTGTATTCATATGGTTAGCAAAACACACTGCCACCAAAGCTAGTGAAACTGTAAAATACCTCCAGATATTTGTGCCAATGAATTTTTCTTAATATATTGGGATTATAGGAAAAATATTTTCAGTATTTTTCATCTGGGACTTAATATTAAATATGTAAATCATCAAAACTTATATTCCATACCCAAAATTTTCTTTGAATATATATAATATACCATAGTATATTTTATCTGAATTGTGGAATAATGTTCTTGATTTTATTGGGTTTAAAAGTTAATTTACCCAATAATGATCTTTTGTTAGTTAGTTGAAGTAATCTTTCATTCATCACAGATTTCATGCTGTTGTGTAAAACTTAGAATTGTGTTGTGCAGATTATTTTTTAGTACAGGTGTCTCTCATTTATTTAATACAGATTTTACTGTGGAATTTCTTTTGTTTCCTATGTATTTCTGTTTAGTCCCTTTATAAAGCACATGTTTCCATGGGGAAATTTATCTACTAGATCCTAACATGATTTATCTAAAATCTATCTAAATCCTAATATGATTTATCTAAATTTATCTAACTAGATCCTAAATGAAATAAACATCTTAAAATGCATATTTTAACAGAAAATATAAACAATCAATGGTGTTAATGCTGAATTAACATTGAAGGGTGATATACTCATGAGAGAAAAGTAGAAATAGAAAAATGATAGACTATTCACAAATATGTTTATCTGATTGAAATTCTTTAATTTCTCCCCTATAGAAATTCTCAAAGGGAATTTCAGTCCCTCGGATTATGTAGTTTTTCCCATCAGTTAATGTCACTTACTGTTTCTCTGTCCAGTAAAGTTGATGCAATTTGCAAAAGTGGTCTTAGAAATAAAGAGGCAAGAAAAAATGAAATATTAAAATGTTTGACTGTGATTTAGTGACAGTTTATCCAGATAATTGGTAGTGACTGGGTATTAGTAAAAAGATGATGCACAAGACCTAAAAATTCAGTTAACATTGTTTTTTGGAATGCGTTTTTCCTTTGTGTTAAATAATTTTATCCTACATAGGCGGTACCTGTATTATTTTATAACCATGCTATCTACGTAATCAAATATGTATTCTTTGTATGTTGGTAGAAATAACCTCTTCCTCCTCTACGGGGGGAAAATCTCCCAATTTTTAGTGTATGTGATTTAAGAAATTGTATTGTGTACTTACCTTTTCAAAAATATAAAAATGACTTTAAATATATTATTTTAAAGTGATTATATTACGGTTTCTTAAACTTAATGACTAACTAAATGTAGCAACA